TGCCTTCCTGTCAGTGTCAAAAAATTGTCATTAGACCCTTGTCTAGCTATTGACCTCTGTCAAATGTACAATAACAATGGGTTTGTTTATATGTTTACAAACTACATTATAGTTTTGAGATAATTACAATTTAGGTGTATACTAAAAAAAGCATACATGTAATATACATAGTGATATAGTGATAAAGTGTTATCCTCCAGAGTGTAATGACTAATTTATTTCCAAAAGATCCAAAAACAGAAAACAATGAGAGAAAGCTACAAATATAAGAAATTTTAAAGCCAAAAATACCAGTAAATTGTATCCATGTCGTTTTAAAACCTATGATTATATTGATCAAAGTAAATATACAAGTAAATAAATAATTGGAATATAATTGATATTGATTTGAAGTTTACCTATGCTCATAAACTAATCGTAGTATTCGCCTTTCAGATTACCCACCATTGACAAAGTTTTAAAAAATACAGTTTGTTTTTAATACCGCGCGAAGGGAGTCGCAGGCGACAGCTAGTATTTTATAAATATTTAAACAAAGATATTTTGTTTTGTTATTAAAATACAGTTGCTATCAATGTTATATTTGTTACGTTTATTATTAGATAACAGTTTCATATCAGCATTACTATTGCTTTCGAACGACATAACAACGACGACCGTCAGATTGTTAGTGTGTCTCGAAACTTTATAACTCACGAAAATGGTAAGGTTAATTTATTTGTATTAAAACTATTTCATTTATTTAGTACCTGAGATTGAAAAAATTATACATTCGTGGATTAAAAAAGAATAGTGTGTTGTCTCTTGTTTTTAATTATCTGTGCAAAATTTCATCCAGATCGACTTAACCGTTTTGGCGTCGCTAACAAAGTAACAAACCTTCATCCAACAAAATAATCCTTTGCATAAATATTAGTATGAAACTTTTTATTTTTTCAGGTAATGTTTAACGCTCGAGGATTAATGCCACCAGTGTTCACACCACTTAATGATGACCACACAATAAATTATTCAGTGATACCTGAATATGCTAAATACTTAGCAAATACTGGCATCAAATCTGTCCTTGGTAAATTATTCCTAACAAAACCTTTTTATATAAATCTAACATAACCTACACACATAGACTCACTTGTCGTCAATATTTTTTTTTGTTTTTTTCGTCAGAACCTAAATTCTAAACCTTAAATCATTAAAAATCTTTGTATATTGCAATACTAACTGTCGCCCGCGATTCTGTCCGCGCGGAATTTAAAAAAAAAACTTAATTAGTAGGTTATATGTTATTCCAGACTATGTTCTACGTCTAATCCAAATTTCGTCCGGATCCGTTCAGCCGTTCTGTGGTTACCTACAAACAAACATCATATATATATATATATATATATATATATATATATATATATATATATATATATATATATATATATTATCAAAAGGTGGCAAACGAGCGAGCGGCCACCCGAAATCGCTGAAATATGACAATATTTTTAATAATAAAATATTTTTATGATACTTAGTTAAATATTTTATTGTACTAACATGACTCGTTTCCGAGTTTTTTTTTATATTATAAGGTGGCAAACGAGCGAGCGGTCACCTGAAATCGCTCAAATAGCGAAGTGACCGTTGCCCATAGACATACGCAATCGCATATGCGTTGCCTACCTTTAATCGACGGAGGAGAGGATGCACAGAAAGAAAATATTTTCCCTTCCCATTCATCCTCTCATCCGGAAAGTCCACTTCCACTTCCCATCCTTTCCTTCTAAGAAAAAGGGTGGGAAGGGAAAGAGGACTAAATTAGGCCTCCGGAGGACTAATATAGCCTGTCCATGTAGAGTAGTGTAATGTTAGTACTAAAATACTTAATTTTCTATTAAGTTGGTGGCACAACTGGTGAGCATATGTCTCTAAGTGTTGGAGACAGGAAGAAAGTAATAGACGCCTGGGTGAAGGTAGCTAAGACCACTGATCTGCATATACAAGTGCAAGTTGGTGGTGCCCCATTGTCAGACGTATTGGATTTGGTAAGGACTATCGTTTAGAAAAACTAACATGTGTACTTTGGGTCGTTTTTTTTGTCTTTGTACCCTAGTGCAGTAATTTCGGTATTATAAGATTCAAACTTTATGCAGGCTCGGATATACGTCAACAACTTAATGCCCCGTTCATACTTGAAAGTAGCCTCTAGTGTGATCTGAGTCTCCATAAAGTTTGGATAAATATGAAAAGTATGTTGGTTAAAAGTCGATAAGATATTTGCATATTGCCTGATATAAGATGTTGATGAATTTGAAGGTCACAAGAACAATTTCTTATCAGTTGAAGTTTAACATTATAGTGTTATCAATTATATAATTTCCGCTCATATCGTACAGAGCAAGAAAATAAAAAAAAAAACTGTTGGAAATGTTAGATTCGCGTTTAATTAGAAAAGGTACACTGGTGATGCGACAAGTGTGCGCGTGAGTGCGTGAATGTGAGAATGAATGAAATGAAAGAGTGAGTGCTTCAAGTTGAGTAAACGTCGCCCCCGCGCCCCTCGGCCAGGTGTCAAGTTTGGCGCAGGCAATTTTTAATAAATGATATGTAATAATTCTTAAACATATTCCTAGAAATTAAGTCCTACAAAATTTACTTACGTAGATAATCCTGTTTTTTTTTTACCTTCCGATACCGTATTCTTCCCCTGAGAGTCAATGACTATCCGTGGGTTTCTGATACCAAAATCCCGTTTAAATATTGTTATCACTGTTTTGTTCAAACATTATTTTTTACACAAAGATGTTGGTTTCAAAATCCATCCGTAAGTCGTCTTTTTTAATTAACAAATAGTGGTTTTTAGGCTTCATATTGCCAGAAAGTAGGAGCAGATTCGCTTCTAACTCTACCTGAGTTGTACTTCAAACCGGACAGTGTAGACACTTTGGTGGATTACGTGGAGTTGGTGGCCAATGCTGCGCCCAACCTGCCCGTACTTTACTACCATATACCGAGCATGAGTAAAGTGGAAAGTGAGTATAACGCAAGTGACGTCACAGTGACGTTTAAACACCCACACACACACTCACGCACACAAACACTGTATTAAAGTTTTTATGTCTTCACGTTTGCATCGTACGGTGAAGGAAAACATCGTGACGGACAACAAAGTGATCCTATAAGGGTTCCGTTTTTTTCCTATGAGGTAAGGGGGTTCCTTACAAACAACAATTGAAAAAATGGTAAAAAGGAATTAATATATTAAAAAAGTGTTTCTTATTTCTACAGTCAACATGCCAGCGTTTGTTACAAAAGCAACAAATCGTATTCCTAATTTCAAGGGCATTAAATTCACGTCAAACGACTTAAGCGAAGGCGCTCAAGTCTTGAGAGCTCTCAAGAATGACCAGGAAATGTTCCTAGGAGCTGATACTGTAAGAATAATTTGAAACTGTCTGTCTTTAACTATAATATATATTTTTTATATTCAATAGAAAATTAGAAAACCGTTAAATTTTAAATAAACTTTTCATAGTAGCGGTACGCGACCGTTGTACCGCGACAGACGCCAGCCCGCAATGGATTTTAGTTTGCTTTGTATGATTTGACATATCGCTGCTAACATTATCTGTGCAGCCGCATCAAAAGACAAAGCAAATCCGTTTAATCTGTGCATGCGGTGCGTCCGGCGCGGGCCAATGGACGCGTACCTTAAGAGCTGTTCGTAAATAAATCTACTTAACTTGAATTAACCTAAATTAATAAAAAAAATATTTAAAACATTTTTTATGATATTTACAATTATTTATCGTACCCACAGTTGATCGCGCCAGCAGCTTTATTGGGCATAAAGTCCAGTATCGGCACCACTTGGAACTTGTTCCCGAGATTAGCTCAGGATATACTGGCCGCGGTGGAAAGGAACGACGTCGCAAGAGCTAGGTCTTTACAGGAGACACTCAGCTTGGCTATTGAAGCACATACAGTTGAAGGTAGATTGAAATGTTGGATTTAATTAGGTTTTAAAAGGTCAACGCCCTGGGCGGTTAAGTGGGGCGACTGCCCAGGGCGAAGGGCATAAGAGGCGTCGCAGGCGCCAGTCCCCTAAGAAACTTTATCTTTGGAAGGTTTTTCTCGACACCAAAAAAGGGGCCGCAAAAATCTTGCCCAGGGCCCCGGATATGCTAAAACTGGCCTTGTTTAAAGTATGTGACATAAGCAATTCAAATAATCACAATCATTCATTCAAAAAGAATCAAATAAGATATCTGCCAAAATTTGTAACCGAAAGCAAAAAGAAGGAGGTTATCAATTCGTCTGTTTTTTTCTTTTTTATCTTGGTATCACCAATAAGGTTTGTTTTATTGGATTCCTATATTCCTAAATTTGTTGTGTCTAGGTCCATGGGTACCCATAATGAAAGCAGGCATGGAAATTGTTTCCGGAATAAAAGTCGGTCCGCCATCACTGCCGCAGAAACCGATTACTGATGAAGCGAGGAAAAGAATCGAAAGTAGATTAAGAAAACTCCAAATTATTGACTAAAAGCTACACTAAAATATACATTGTTAATAATTAAAGTATATTAAACTGGTTGCTTTTTTTAATCGTTAAAGATAATACTATTAAAAAAATATGGTAACATTCATTTCAAGCCATCGTCTTTTCTATTATTTTAGGGGGTTCATAAAGAAATTACGACTTACAAACTTCATCTGCATTTCTTTTTATAAATAGCTGTTGACTGCGACTCCTTCGGCTCGGAAATAAAAATAAAACTTGATAAGTATCCTACGTTCTACATCTATGGCAAATTTCAGGAGATCCAAGCAGTTGTTCTGGAGATTCCTTCTATTAGTTTTATATTAGTAAGATTAGTTTCAAAAGGATCTTATGGGTCGTAAGATTGTTAGTTCACATATCTCCCGACTGCCATAACTTAAGACAGTCTTATTTTTGTGGATAATGGACGGTGGTCATAGTGTCGACAGTACGTGCATTACGAACATCTATAATCTATCGGTCTTGTAATAAAATAAATCGAACAAATAAGTTTCACAATTTAGGGATTTTATCACTTTTCTAATTTATTATAGTTATTTGGCTACGTATCGCAAAATTAACTAAAAAAAACATCAAATACATTTCTTTTTTATTTGTCAACCCTCAATTTTTAGTTTAACGTTTTATTTCTTTATTGTTTCTTTCTTTAAATAAATAGGTAGAAACATTTTAATTCATATTGTAATCAAAAAACCATTATTACGAAAGTTTCGATTGCAAATTCTATTAGAATAAATGATGAATCGTGAAAAATCATGGAAAATCGATAATATTCATAGCCCAATTTACTCACTACATCTCTAGTGAATTGTCAAATTAATCAATCTTAAATATAGACACACCAATTTTTAATGATTTTTATATGCTCTGGATCTCTGGATAACATAAACAAACTTCGCTTTATCTTTGTTCTACAGTCTTTGTTTTTCAATTCTATTTCATAATTGAATTGAATTTGACATTTTTTGTCTTGTTTGCCAACTGGAGGTAAGGCGAGAGTTTTATTTCAAATTGTCGTTGCTTTATTAAATAGGTTTAGGGTATATTATTAAAATGCCGTATTTAAGTGCATTGGGTAGATGTTTTTGTGAGTACTTAGCAATTCATTTGTGCACAGATTTCTGCTCGAATGTTTTCTTTTAAACACAGTTACATCAGTTAAAATATGATGAAACATAACTTCATAATACAATAAAAATATAAACTAAAAACATCTACAAACACTAATAAAAACATATAAAATTATTAGTTATCTCTTGCAGCGACATAGTGCAGTGGTTTACGTTGCGAAGTAAAGTTTTGTGTGGTAATTTTATTTCTTATATTTATTAACTTTTTGACCAATAAAATCACGAAACAATCAATATTCCTGTGGACTGATTATATAATATACATCAATACAATATCGCCTTTATTATTAAAAAGCATTTTTGTTTATATTAACATTGAAAGGATGTAGAAAACATATTTTCAGATTTATAGGGAAAACAAAACAAGGAAAATGAAAAAACAAGTAGCTGTTATGCCTTCACTGGAAGTGTTGATAGAAAGATTGCCACAGGCTATATTAGATGCTGCAATAGGTCCTATAAGAGTAATGCAAGAGGTAAGAAGTCTTTGTAACAGTAATCTTTTTAATATAACCATAATTCTGTTTATCTATATAAAAAATGAATCCCTATCCCTCGGTCATAATATCATGCATGAATGGCCGGACTAATATGGCTGATTCTTAGTTAGATGGTTTTTATGAAAGAAAAAAATTTGTAAACTTTTATCTCAAAAAAAATTGCCATAGATATGGAACTGTGTGGGCAAAATCACAAGCAGGCTAGTTTTCAAATAATTTTCAAACTATGAGTAACAGATTGACATAAACATTGTGATCTTAGTTATCTGAATGAGAAAGAAAAGGTCTTAATAAATGTTTTATGCTGTTATTATATTAGATAATAATTCTGTATTATAGTAAGTTTACATTGCATCAAATCTCTATATTCATTTACGCTGGGTCACACAAATCTTATGTCTTATAAAACCCATTTTTATATTTATATTTTTTAATCTTTCAGATGCCTAAACCAGATACATCAATCCAGGATCCGCTGAAATATTTACCTAAAACTGAACTTGTGCATGATCTCCCAAAGAAATCGATGCCATCATTGCAAGTTACATTGGAAAGATTACCTAAAAAGTTGATGACGAATTTGCTAGCACAAAAGAAAATACATGCGGTTTGTAAGCTTTTAATATCTATGTGCAATTTCTACTGTCCATTTGACTGTTTGAGTCCTAATTATTGTCTTTTTGCTACCTTTCTCTTATAAAGGGGAAATATCCTCATTATAAGTACCAAAAATATGACAGAAGATTTTTTTTAAAATTATTTTTATATTTTATAGCAATGAAACTTTTTTTAACGGCCAGTATTTATTTGTTTGCTTATTAAACTTAATTTTTTTTTATACAACTAGTAACAAAAAACAAGACTATATTTAATCTACTTTAATGTTATTTTCAGGCACAAGAAAAAAGGAAAGTTGGTAGACCAAAGAAAGTTAGAGACACTCAATTTAAAAATCAACCTCCAATGTTTGATTTTATTTCAGTATAGTTGTTTAAAAAAATATATAATTTTCACTGTGTTTATATAAATGTTCTAAGGCTCCTTATTATGACTGAGTATATTTATGATCTCAAATAATTATACTTAATTTGCCTATGATTAATTTTAGTCACGAAAATAATTACTCTTCTACTACTACTAACTAGTCTATGGTTTAAATGACAAAAGTAACGCGAAGTAGCAAAACATATGCTGTCTCTTTCATACTTATGCCTCATTATTTTGAGAAAAAGTGGCTAATATATATTTGTCTTGCTCATTCAATGTATGTGCTGAATAGTTCTATGAGCGAGTTTAGTGATGTGACGTGTCCCAATTTGTTTCATTTGCCAATGTTTTGTTTTTTTTTTATTTTAGTTATAAAATATATGTATATTTAGTTAAAGTATTTACATAATATGAAGTATATTAAAACTTAAAATCTTTAATGTAGATTTCTAAACAGTAATAGCTTTCCTTCCTTAATCCTATTCCATATTTATCTCCCATCTTATTTCCTTCCTCTTCCTATCAATTTCCGATTTCCTTTCCCAACTTGTCACCTATCTCCTAGTATTTTCCTTATTCAACACCCTTCTCTTTTAAAGAAAGGCTGATAATACGTAGATATAATGATTGTTGCCAGCCAGACTTTAGTTCTATCGTAAATTAACCGTTAAGCTAGTTTGGACTTATATACTCAGAAAAGGCTTGTAAACTTTCCTGTTTAATTAAAAATGTTTAGTGGAAAATAACCTTAAATACAAGGTAACTGATGATTCTTTTGTCTAGATGATTGTATTCGATGTATTCTGTATGATACAATGGTATAATTAAAAAAAAGAAAATAAATAATTTTGTTTCTTTCTACCTCCAAGTACAGTCAGGGAATTGCGCGGTGTTGCACTTACAGAAAAATTGCTTTGTTCCTCCCAAATTCTCCTAAAAAACAGTGTCCTGGTGAAGATGGCTTAGAAATGCAACCGTAGCCGCCATTGCGCGTTTAATTTGTTCTCGTCTGTGCTAAGTACTTGGATATTAAAGTTTAAACACTAATCTAAATATGAGTCACCTTGGAATTGTGATGTTTTTATTAGTCTGATAAGCAATTATAGTTGTTCATTAAATAAGATAGTGTAAATTATACGAGAGTTATTTTAAACTCAGAGATAACATTTTTAAGGGGTTTTTTTTATATCATAAGGTGGCAAACGAGCGAGCGGCATCCCGAAATCGCTGAAATAGCGATGTGACCGTTGCCCATAGACATACGCAATTGTATATGCGTTGCCTACCTTTAATCGACGGAGGAGAGGATGCATAGAAAGAAAATATTTTCCCTTTCCATGCATCCTCTCATCCGGAAAGTCCACTTCCACTTCCCATCCTTTCCTTATAAGAAAAAGGGGAAAAGGTTGTATACATTAAGTATACTAAATACTGATAACTATTTAGGTACCGAGAATGTGTACTATCCAAACAAATAAACGGGGACTTCTTCGATTAGTGACTGAGTCGCATAAAAGTTTTTCATTGACTCATCAGTCTTTTGTGGAAGGACACAGAATTGAGCTCTAATTGTGAGTAGCTTTTCATCACCTTGCCATCACCAGAAGCGTTACAAGGGAGAGGTGGTCATCAGCCCGGTGTGTGGAATTGTAAGAGGTGAAAAAAAACTAAACAATGTATAATAACGTACTAGCAACGGTAAGTCTTGAGCAATGAGAAGAAATGATCGTCATTTTTGTTATAATCAAGGCGTTTCACGACTAATCTTACATCTTACCAATGTTATAAATGCGAATGTTTGGAGTTATGGATAGGTGTTTGTTTCAAGGTATCTTCAGAACAGCTCAACGGATCTCGATGAAATTTGGCATAGATGTAGAACATAGTCTGGAAAAAGACATAGCCTTATTATTTTTTTTCAAATCCGCGCAGACGCAGTCGCGGGCTACAGCTAATATTAGATAGGTCTCCATGTTACATCGTACGCTTTCTATTTAACGTTTTGAGATCCACTCCAGGAAGTGTTCTATAATTATTTGGAAATATAGATAATAAATAGTATAGAATTGCCTCAAATTAATTATCACTTATTCAAAAAGATTATTAAGTTCTTCCGTGATCAGTTTAAAACTAGTCCCAATGACATAATGTACCTACGTACTATTAGTACGGTAGTTTTAGATTCTGATCTCTTCTAAATATTTGAAATTCTTAAATTTTTGTGTAGAAAATCAAGAAATGTTAGATTTATTATAACATGTTTTATAACTATTTTACATACTAAACAAAAATTTAAATGCTTTAATAATTATGTTTTTATTCAGAGATTTTATTTGGCCAGTCTGCGTCATACATAGATCTATAGTCGGGCTTCCCTATGCGAGAGTTCGGCTCTCTCGCGTATCGCTTCAGTCAGCGGTTCAATGTCGCGCTCGCGCTTGCGTCTCGTTGCGACAGATTAAAAATAAATCTTTCAAAACATTTTAACTTTTTTTCACGTCACCGAAGACAGTTTGCATCAAATTTTGACATTATTTTGACGTTTATATCAAAATAGAAATGGAAGCAAACGGTATTTCGGAATGCAACAACCTTGACAGTTCATTAGGTCATTTTATTTTGAAAAACAATACCAAATATGAATACGATTCAACGGAATATGTGGGCGATGTTAAAGTAAGCGGGAAATTTAAGAATCCTCGAAGTTTTGTGGAACTCAGAAATATGAGTTCTGTACAAAGTTTAAACTTGATGGAGAGAAGGGTTCTGGTTATTTATACTGGTGGAACTATTGGTATGGTGAAAAATGCTAAAGGTGGTGAGTATCTTTTGATATTTCAATGCTTAACAGATAACTGTAATATCCAAGAATTCGCAGAATTAAAGCAAGCATGATCTCTTGCTTTACTCAAGTAAAAATTCTATAATCTACCTATTATTGTTTTTTGCTTAGAGAAGATATTTTTCTTTGACAAGTAACGATGAGCTTATAAATTTAATTTACCATTTAATTAGATTAGAAAATATCAAAAATAACACTTTATAAGCAACAAAAATTGAACTAAAAGAATTCACATTTATTAAATTTAAAATATCTTCACAACAATAACTAAATAAACAATTAAAGATAAGTACTATTTCCCAAAATTTATTTAAGCTTTTAAAATAAATTACGAGCACTTTTAAATCGTCTTAAAACACGTGTTTAAAAACATGGAATAGCATCAATAAGCTGTATTATTGAACTTATGTTTTATCTTGCGTCATTTATAGTTCATGATAATTGATGTCTTTTATCTAGTCATGTTTTTATTTCATTCACAAACATAAGTTTGTAACACCCGCTGCGTTACGAACTCCAAACACTGGGCTATACGCAAAAGAAGAGCAATCAATTGAATTGACCTTCCGGGTTACGAAGGTACGCACAGATAATGAATTGACAATTGATGCCATGATGCATCTCACTCGCTTCTACTTTATGAAAATCTTTAAAATGCATTCAATATTCAAGTCATGAGAGACATTGATGTGAAAATATTACCTCAATCGTTCTGGAAGTTTATACAGGCTGTCGCTCACGACTCCGTCCGCACGGAATTTAACTTATTTAGTAGCTTATATGTTTATACATCTTTGCCAAATTTCAGTAAGATCTTTGCAGCAGTTCCGGAGATACCTTCAATCCATCCATCCAAACATTCGCATTTATAATATTAGTAAGATGGATGGATCAAAACATTATTGTGTGTTTCTAAATTACTACGACTTGGGCACTACTTTATTTTTCTTAAACATCATTAAGGCATCTGCGGTGCCTCTGGTGTTCAAACGTCTATGGGCGCTAGGAAATGGATGGAAGTTTGTTAGAAAGTATCTCCAGATATGGCTCCATATATATCGCTAAAATGGTGTTGATAAAAAACACATAAATTCTTGTTAACTTTTTTTTTAATTCCGAGTTAAAGGCGTCACGGGCAAGAGACAGTTATTAAATAAAATAAACTTTCGTATTCATTTAGCTCTCTGGATTACAAAATCGAATCGAATTGCGTTTATCTGGTGCAATTTTAATGAAATTGCACAGCATACCGTTGTGTGCAGAGTAATTAACTCGTGTTACGATAATCCGGTTATAGATTATCGTGACTGACCTATCTGATATACATACATGACGTTTTGTTTGAATAAGACAACGCCTCTGTTGCTTGTTTACTCTGTACATAAACTCGATCACGTATGTCTACTAATTAAATTTAAACAATAGTTTACAGGATCACGTGAATTGTATTTTGGATAAAGGTATGCGTCCAATAGCCCGCGCCGGACGCACCACACGGACAGCCCGCAACGGATTTTACTTTGCTTTGTATGATTTTATATACAGGTGCGTCTATATGCGCCGTCAAAAGGCAAAGTGAATCCGTTTAATCCATGCGTGCAGTGCGTCCGGCGTGGGTTAATGGACGCGTACCTTTGATACTAATACTAGTAGGTTAATTAAATTAACACAACCTCAAAGAAGACAAAAGAAAGTTAATTTATCTATCACCTTAATATGTTGAAATAGTTTTCATCATATGATGTTTGAGGGAAGTACAGGATGGAAATGCGCAGTTTTATAGCGAATTGAGTGCGTGCAATTCGAATATGCGTTTATGATAATATTATACGTTCAACGCTCGATAGAGCGTAGATTATAAATAAGAAAAATAATTCGAGATAAGTTTTCATTCATTAGTTCATTCCCTCACCTGCTCGTATGATTCAAACTTAATAGATATGGGTACACCTGAAGAGATTACGTTGGCAAAATTTGGTAACATTCGATTTAAACAAATGATTATATAAATGCTTACACTGAGGTTAACTTCAATTACATTTTTTTTAATATCATAAAGGTGAAAAACGAGCGAGCGGTCACCTGAAATCGCTGAAATAGCGAAGTGACCGTTGCCCATAGACATACGCATTTGAATATGCGTTGCCTACCTTTAATCGACGCACGAGAGGATGCACAGAAAGAAAAAATATTTTCGTTTTCCATGCATCCTCTCATCCGGAAAGTCCACTTCCACTTCCCATCTTTTTCTTATAAGAAAAAGGGTGGGAAGGGGAAGAGGACTAAATTAGGCCTCCGGGATGCACATTCATTTCACACCTGTCTTCTGTGTGGTCGTGGTATTTCACCGGGCGAGCCGGCCCAATTCGTGCGAAGATGTTGCGAAGATGCTACCACTGTAAAAACACATAACAAGGATGTCGCCAGGGGACTGCCATCTGCAGGGTAATGAAGAAAAATGTAGAGGCTATGTTCTTCTAGACTATGTCCTAAATCGGTGCCAAGTATTCACCGAGATTCATGCTGTTCTGGAGATAACTTCTAACAAAAATCCATCCCTTCATCTATCCGCCCGAACATTTGTATTTATAATATTAGTAAGATTATTTTATTGTTTTCTTCCAGTATTGGTACCGCAAAAGGGTGCGTTCGAAAATCTGATAAGAACATATCCGCAACTGCACGACAATGCGTCATGGAAACAAAGGCTATCGGAGAATAATTACGACACAAGCTTTTTGGTGTTACCAGGTTGGTATACAGAAAAGTTAAAATTTAATTTATTGGTATGGTATATTAGGGGATAAATTTTAGTATATGTAGACCTGAAAAATCGACTATTAATAAACCTCGACGTCGTTTATTTTTCGTAATTCTTGTGAATTAATCTTATATATCGTCCCATAATCTTTATAGCAGAGGAAAAAAAAAGACGCCGAGTAATTTATTTTACACATAATAATCTGAATATCAAACCTGTAGCATGAATATGCATCAAATTTGTAGAATCTTGGTCAACACCGAAGGTGGCAACCCTATGTAATTACAATATGGTTATCAATAAATTGGATATATCCATGGTTTACAGAATTAGATCCTAATTTGAAATATTTGACCATTCGTCTTAAGTCCTTTAATTTTTACAGACGCCAAGGATTCTTGCTTAAAAGTGATGTACAAAATAACGGAATATGAAGAGTTATTGGATTCTTCCAACATGACTGAGGCGGAATGGATACGAATTGCCCAAGATATTATGGTAAATAGCTGACCGCGACTCGTCCGCGCCTAATTAAAAAAAAAACGTTATAAGTAGCATTGTCTTCTTCCAGACTACGTTCTATACCAGTGCCAAATTTCATCAAGATCGGTTGTGCCGTTCCGGAGATACTTTCTAACAAACATCTATCCATCCATCTTGTTTTCTATATCTATATATCTTAATTCTCATGACTTCAACAAAAATATAATAAAAAAAAACACTAAAGACATTCCACAAATGCAGGACCCGATCCGTAGGTCGTTATTTCAAATCCGGCACGAAGGACCAAATGTCTAAGAGATAAAATAAAACTCACTTATTTTGAGAAAAAAACAACGAAACATATATGACAATGTATTTTTTCTGTTTTAACTTAATACTATTGAAACTTCATAGACAAGCTCATTCACATATAGAAATAACTAGCTGTCGCCCGCGACTTCGTCCACGCGAAATTATAAATACTATTGGTCACACCGTAATGTTATATAATCTTCCTCTACAAATGGCCTATCCAACAAAAAAGAATTTTTCAAATCGGACCAGTAGTTCCTGAGATAAGCGCGTTTAAACAAACAAACTGTTCCGCTTTATAATATTATAGAAATAATCAGGACGTTTTTTTAGAAAAATTACTCAATGTACGACGGGTTCGTGGTACTACAGGGAACAGATACGTTGTCGTACACGGCCTCTGCTCTCTCCTTTATGTTTGAGAACATTGGTAAATGCGTGGTGCTCACAGGATCCCAGGTAAGTCTGTTTTTATTTAAAGTTACAGTAACAAACTATTAGTACTAAGAAATTTCAGATTTTCGCAAAATATTAGGTAGTACACGGCCCCATGGATTTGCTGAAATAGGAAAGCGATCGCTGCCTATAGACATTCGCAAGACAGAAAGAGAATGTTTCCCCTTCCTATACGTCTTTACTTCTATCAAATACTCTACCACCCATCCCATCTTTTCCTTTTCCCCATCATTTTCTTATAAGCAAAGGGTGGGAAGTTAAAGAACTTAAATTAAGCTTCCGGCACACTGATCAGATGCAACGTAGAATTGCTTCTACTTGCCGCCTGTCTTCTGTGTGGTCGTGGTACTGAACTGAGTCGACCTATTCTTCCAACAGAAGTTTGTGGTGGCATCTACCACTATTGAAACGGTTAAAAGACTACATTATTTTAGACATTATTAATTAGGATCCTTTGACGCGAATTAAAGTTACGCGAAAGTGACAAAGTTAAGTGTCAGAATGATAAGTGAGGGGACATAAACGTTGACATTTTAGTAAGGCTAGTGTTGCCAGTACACCGGCATAGTGTCGAATTTTCTTCCTATCAGTTTTTACCAAAGTCTGCCGGACAAATGCTTTCCTTATTTCCTTTCGTGATATATGATCCTCAGTCTCACATCTTCTTTTTCTTGTTCTTTTGATTATCCATTTACGGATATCCCACAATCTAAGAAATTTGAAATATAAATATTAAAACTTTGGATATTTTTGTAGATCCCAATATTCGAGCCACGTAGCGACGGCGCCGACAACTTTGTGTCATCCCTCATGATTGCAGGAACCTTGAATATACCAGAGGTCACAATATTCTTCGGCAGCAGGCTATTTAGGGGAAATAGGTACGCATAATCTATATCTTAATATTATAAATGCGAATGTTTAGATGGATGTTTGTTTGAAGGTATCTCAGGCAATCTGCTGGTCCTGGGTTCGAGTCCCGCCATGTACCAATGTGTTGTTCGATTTCCGATTTACATTTATCCGACGTTGTTACGGTGAAGGAAAACATCGTGATGCTGCACATCTCTGAGAAGAAATTCAATGATATGTGTGAAAGTCAACCAATCCACACTTGGGCAGCGTGGTTGACTATGGCCAACATACAAACTGACCGAAGTAAGAATCGTACGGTAACATATTTTTTTTATTTCTAGAACGCGTAAGATATCTGTAAATAATTTCTACGCTTTCGACTCCCCGAATTGTCCACCGTTAGTGGAAGTGGGTATTGATTTCGTGGTCAACAAGAAGTTGATCTTCAAGCCGAATGTTATTGACAAGTTCCAGCTGCACGCTAAGATGTCCAAGAATGTGGGACTATTGCGGATATTCCCGAGTATTAGTGCGTCAGTTATCAGAGCATTTTGTCAGGCTCCTATTGAGGGTATGTAATAAATGTTTAAATCCATTAAAGTACCAAATTTTAACAAATTATATTTTTGTTAAATTCTCAAATTTGTTGAAGATCCTTACAGTTAATTCTATCTATATCATTAGTTCTAATCCTACTAACTGCAACCAAAATCAAATAGGCACAAAATACCGCAGTTTATAGCCCGTCCATGTATAGAGTACACAAAAAAAAATTGTTTTCTTTTGCCATGACACATGCTGTCTCTGTTTTTTTCAAAGAGAACGTAAGGGATGGCGATATACGCAATACAAATAGGTTTCGAAACCCTTAACATACATAAATGGCTTCTTATTTACTTTTTTACTATCCTAGGTGTGGTTTTGGAGAGCTACGGCGCTGGTAATATTCCATCTAATAGAAAGGACGTGCTTGAAGAAATTAAAGAGGCGGTGAATCGTGGTGTTATTGTTGTTAATATAACACAGTGCAACACTGGTGCTGTCTCGTCTCTTTATGAGACAGGAAGAGTGAGTTTATCATGCAGTAACTCAGACTCAGCAAAATTCAGTTGATAACGATGAGAGAGTAGCAAACAATTTTCTAAAGTACAGCACAACATTTATATGTAATTCTTCTAAGTTTTATTTGGCTAGGTAAACTACAAAGGGCAACGTTCATGATTTGCCGGTCTTTATTTTACTAAAAAAGACAGAAAATGATTAGTACATAACGCTATTCTATTCTGGAGGAAGAGTTTCCAGACGGCTAAAGCCGGACATAGGACTTTTTGATTGAGTGTCCGCCCAAAACAAATGGTGTCCGGATTGTCCGGGTTTTGTTAGGATTTTTACATTTCTCAAACAGTAGTGGCCGAGCGCGTCTATAATCTAGGTAAATTCTCAATAATGTCCGGCATTTTTACCTATATGTCCGGCCAAACTGGCTAGTTGTCCGGCTATTAGGTTTCACGAACTGGCAACGCTATTTGGAGGAAACCAGTTCAATCCAGTCTCCACGAATGTTTCTATAATTCTGCATTTAAATAATAACTCTATTGCTATTTATTTACAGTTGATATCAGAATGTGGTGTTGTTTCTGGTTACGATATGACACCAGAAGCGGCACTGACGAAACTATCCTACGTTTTATCTAAAACGGAGCTCACCCTACAAAAGAAGACAGAGGTGATTTTGGACTGTATTTCATTCTAATAAAGTTCATTTTTGTATATTTGATTAATATATTATCTTTCAGCTTATGTCTAGGAATATAAGAGGAGAGTTGACAAATACATCTACCATAGCTATTGAGGTATATAAACTTTTTTTTTAATAGAACAAAAAAAAATTGGGTATTTTATTGTCGTTTTTTTTCAAAGGACCATACGTTAATTGATGCAATTGCTAGTAGCCTTAATATAACATGTCCAAGGAAATTGGTAGAAGTAACCGAGAAGGTGTTTAGTGCTCTTCTCTTCTATGCTATAGATCATAACGACTTCCGAGGAGTAAAGAAGATACTTGGTGAGTAAAGTCTTTAAAAAGATACATTCATTTACAGCTATTATCAAGGTCGTCTCTTCACCAGCTCACTATACGTTCCCAGTGAGGGGCTCCGAGCCAGCTAAGTTAGGGGTGACTAGGCCATAGTCAACCACGCTGGACCAGTGCGGGTTGACTTCATACTTTCTTTGAATTTCTTTACATATATGTGTAGGTTCATCTCGGTTTTCCATCACCGTAAAACCGTCGTTTAAAAGTACAAAATGTAAATTAAAAATCTAGAAACGCATTGCTACTTGGTGGGATTCGAACCCACAACCTGCAAATTGTATGTCAAGTGCTTAACACCTGAGCCACCGACGCTCGATCTTCCCTTAGTGACCGATTAAATTTTGCGGCAAGTACCTTTAACACAAGGCAGTAAAATCTTTGTGTCCTTTCGATTTTAGTGGTTAAGACTAACCCAATACAATATCATAGAATTTCGTACATCGCGTCGTTGATTTTTCTATTTGTCATCGCCAAAGAGTCGCTCGCAACCTGTTTTTCGAGGTCTTTGTAAAAAAACCCTGCAATTTTCAAGATGGCGGCACAAATCTATACAGTTGACATGTAGTCGCTATGCCAACACTGATCGAATAGACGATTCGCGTCGACGATTCAACGTTGTGTGTACGAGCAACGCGATACTTCAGACGCGACTAATTAGTTTCGACGATTTACGTTACCTCGTATGAAAGAACTTGAGTTATAATTTTCTAGATATGGGAGCTGATGTTAACGTACAAGATTCGGATGGCAAGACGGCCTTGCATCAGGCAGTCATCAAAGGGAATATTGAAATAATTGAATATCTCTTAAAGAATGGAGCAAGCGTTCACTTGAAAACGAAGTAAGAGATTAATAATACTCTACTAGTTGTCGCCCGCGACTACGTCTACGCGGAATTAAAAAAATCTTAGTGAGTAGCATATGTGTTCTCCCAGACTATGCTCTAGACCTGTACCAAATTTCGTGAACATCCGTTCTACCGTTCTGGAGATACCTTCTAACAAACATCCATCCATCTAAATATTCGCATTTCTAATATTAGTCAGATGTTCATTAATACAAAGTTAACAAAACTCATGGAATATATTTCACTATTAAAAAAAAACGAAATAAACTATTTCTCAGTTTTCCTACAGCTTACAGTATATCAGGACATCTTTGACCAGCATTTTTATGGTTAAAAACACTATATAGGTAACAGTTTACCAGTTGTTCGCAAGAATAGAATTGAAATTTTCCTGCCACGTTCAATCTCTAGATGCGGTGAGTCCCCACTCCTGACTGCGGTGAAGCACGACGAGGAGTCAGTAATAAAACTGCTGCTGCAGTGCGGCGCGCACCTCACCACTGCTGACTCGAACGTCGTGATGGCGCTCATGTCGCTAGCGGCGAGGAGCGGCAACATTCAAATGTTAGAGTCGTTACGAATCGCGGGAGCGAATCTCGGCGCTTGCGATGAGTTGAAACAGACGCCTTTGCATCAGGTGAGTGAATGGATTGAATGAAGTGAATGGTGAATGACATTTTAGGTTTACCTAAGAGTTTCTTAATCTCTATCTAATCCTTGCCATAATGTGTCAACATTTTTTTTAACAGTGGTAGAGCCCGCTTTAACATCTTCGCACGAATTGTCCCGGCTCGCCCGGTGATGTACCACGACCACACAGAAGGCAGGCCTCAAGTGGAAGCAATTCCGCGCTTTTTTTTATAAGGAAAGGATGGGAAGTGGAAGTGGACTTTCCAGATGAGAGGATAAAGGAGAGTGGGCAACGCATATGCAATTGCGTATGTCTATGGACAACGGTTACTTCGCTATTTCAGCGACTTCGTTCGTGTCGAATTAAGAAAAAACTTTTGTAGCGTATGTGGTTTCCCACACTGTCCTACATTTATTGCCATCGTGATCCATCCTTCTAAACATTCTCAGTTATTTTTAGTAAGATTTAACTTGTGTCTCTTTTAGGCGGTACTTTGTAATCAAGAAGGTGTGGTACAATATTTAATCGGTAACAACGTGAGGACAGATTTAGCGGATATCTTGGGCTACACCGCATTGTCCTATGCGGAGAAACTGGGCCACGAAAGGATGAAACGTACTTTGAGCAATAGAGCTGTACTCTCCGTGTTACATACAGAATAAACTTTAGTGTCTTTGTTTGAATGAAATTTATATAATTTAATGTTTTTTTTTAGTATCTGTTTTTATAATAAGAATATATAATATTGTTTTGTGAAACAAAATTGTTTTCATTGATTCTTGAGTATTCTATTTAAAATCGATATCTTATAGTATAGGATATTAAAGATGCAACGATAATATTTGTTCAGAAGCATAAATTGAAAAATCCATGAATAAAATTAAACTGAAATTTTAATTATTGTCAATATTCGATATAAAAGTGTTTCTATAAGATGATATATTGTCTATGATTTGTGTCAACTGATATTCATTTAATGGGCAAGGTCTGAAGGTGTTGCAATCTCCTCCAGTTCTACCAGCTCTGTATGCATCTTCAACTGACGTTGTGTTGAACATGGATGACAGTAGCTGGTTTCTGTAATATAATTGAATCAGACAATTACATTGGTTTGATGAATAGCTATAAAGGTACAAGACCAAAGAAACGATGTATGGATTGTGTGAAAGAGGATGTGCGTAGGATGGGGTTAGATTGCATATGGAAGAGTACATACTGTGCCGACCCTCTGTAGGGGTAAGGGTAGGTTGATGATGATGAATTACTTTGGTTTGGTAATTCTTACGTGTGTCTTCTGGGGTTCATGAAATACTATGAGAGAAGGTGGCAGGAAATATATGGGGTCACATATTGAAGAATAACAGCAATAAAGGACGTTCATAGATTTTAGTTAAAATTTAAAAGGGACAGGAAAAAAGCGGGAAAAATAAATTGTGGTCTACAACATAAATAATTGAAGAGACCATTATCAAATTACAATTTTTTGTACATTTACTAAAAGGAATAGGAATACATTACCTGGTAATTTTCTTCCAAGTATTAAGATTTCTTATGTTGGCAGTCCGACCGGCCCAGCAGGCAAGTCGAGCGGGACAACTTTGACCGTTAGATATTATTATATTGGCAACATCAATAAACCCATCTGGCATGTTATAATCATCTTCTGAAAAGAAATAATCGTATAATATTGAAGATCTAGAAATATATTTTTGTGGTCTTTACCTAAGGTCCTTGGAGTGAACGTGTCGTGAATATTTTTTTATATAGCAACATTCTCTTTAGCCATGATTTCACTTTTTATACTTTCTTTGCCTTGAAAGCAATCAATCGCTTTTCCTCTTTTATAGTAATTAAACAAGGAAGAATAATTTTTATTTTTTGACTTCTAATTTAAATTAATAAAATATAAAAACTTTAACAAATAAAAAAAAGGAAACTATCATCGAGTTGGCAATGACGTTCCATATTCAAACAACAAAACTGTTACAAAATTGTCAGTCACATTAAAGTCATGGCGTAAAGTCGTTTTAAGGATTACAAAATAAAATTTCAGTGATAATATCCGATTCAACCAGCTTTAAATAATATATAAATCAGTAAGTATATATTAAAATATATAAATAAATATTAAACATATTAAACTCTCGAGTACAAAACTAGTGTTATGTTTCTTCATGCTTTCGTATTTAAAGGACAATAAAAACGGTGGAAAATTACCAAAAAAGGGGTCCAAATTGTGATTATTGGTTAAGAAAGTTGACCGCGACGATAGACGCCATTTGATTTATGATGACATATTCAAATTGACATATTTTATCAAATTTTATGGTGCGCTCATTTTGGACAATGTTTGTGTCGAAGTGTTTGTATATTTTTGAGACGTTCCAAATACGGGGAATCATTTCGTCTTTAAGAAATCTTTGTTTCATAATTTAATTTTTCAAAGTTCAATTTTAAATCAAAATCAGCAACTAACTATTGTAAATAATGAATTATGAAGCAAAAAAGACCAGTTACCTCTTTGAATCAATGTAACAAGATAACAATCAAAATATTTGAAGAGATCCAATCTGATACAAAAACATTGAACTCGGCAGGTCATGGAGCAACTTTACATGCTTGAGATGTTTATTGACAAGGTCACAATTTTTGTATCCGATGACGATGAAAAGAGCACAAACAGTAAAAAACTAATCGTTAAAATCAAATTTGGACCTAATGCTGAATTCATCATAAAAGAAGGACAACTTGCTGTTAATGAAGGCAAAGACGACGATGTGATCGACGTCGATGAAAGAGGTCGGAAGAAATGGACGAGGACAATAAGAGTTGGTAAATCATATCTATTTCCATCATACCCAGATACTTTACTGGTGATTCTCAGTAAGTTTCCACTTGAAATCGAAGTATGGAACGATGATGAGACTGAAATTGATATATTTGTAGGCGTCGGTACTATGTATTGGCAAACGGAATTCTTCCACATGTTAAAAGAAACCGCTGATATTTGCAAGGTTCATGAACCTTTAGCGATTAAAGAGAACGCACGTTTGCTTGCAGAATGTCATTGCAAACAAGTAGGAGAAATCTCCTTTATACTCAGACTTAGTGCCTTAGGTAATAGTATAATAACAGAATTCCAACAACCGATGAAAGACCCAGATTCGTTTGTATTTAGAACAAATAAAGCACCGAGCATGTTCGAATGCAAACGTATCGAAGGTGACAACCCTAACTTCTGTATGGTAGGTAGTCTGTACGAGACAACAACATTAGAAGACCCAGATATTATAAAGAACGCTGTAACGAAAATAGAAATCTGTACAGAAGCTTCAACTTGTGGCATGGATAAATCGGGTCCCGAAACTACTTGTAAACACGGAGAAAAGGATAAGAGACAGTATCCGATAGATAAGATCAGAATGGGAGATATACGTGGTCCATGTGGTAACACGAATTGTCCTTTAGCACATAAAGTCAAAACTTATATTAGAAATTTGGAAAGCTATAAAAATAAAGTCGGTGTGGTTAGTAACAAAGGTGATAATGTAACGAAAAAAATATGCGGCAAATGTAATTGTAAAGATGACCGTTGGCACAGAGAAAGTTGTCCACTAAAGAAGGAAGAAACTGCCAAAGTTGAATGCGAGGGTTGCAAGGGAGTCACCGAAGAAGGAGAAACATGTGAAGATAAAAAGAAAAAGTTTATGGGCACAGGTGCTACTCCGAGAGGCAGTAAAACGCAAGTCAATTATTTATTTAGTACTATCAAATTTCAAGGCCTTAAAGACGGTGCTCAATTAAGAAATGATTTTATACAGAATTCACTTATGGATCCCTATTTAAAATATGATTCGACAAACAAGAGTGGATGTTCCTGCTCTCAAGAGGCGACGTTTTGTGATTCTGAAGATATAAAGTGTTTGGTTAATCAGGACGTTTCAATGGAGGGTCAAGAGAAGAATCCTGAAACCGATGACTCCAAGTGTTATATTAATGTATATAATTGTGTAGTAGTCCGCGATGAGAAAGACTGTACTTGTAGTCCACCAAAACCGACTCCATTGTGCAGAACATTTGATTGCGAATGTATCAGTAAAATGACTGAAATTGCATCGAGAAAGAATCATAAACCTTATTGTCCTTTGTACAAGCATAAGAATACTTGTCCTGTGACAAAGATTCATGAAGAAGAAACTCAGAAGGAAGACGATGAAGATGAAGCCGAACCGTTACCTTACGGCTTGCCTCCAATAAGTCTTGGACCTTGTCCTATCATGGGTAGACCTTGTAGCGTACCCGATGGTTTCGCTAAGATGTATAAAAATGCTGCATTGCCAGCTTTACCGCCTAGTTATAGCGATGCTGGCAAAGTTTGTTGTTCGAAAGAATACGAAAGGGTCAAGAAAGCGTTGCAGGAGTATATGAAATATGAAAAAGACCACGACTATAGATGTGTCAATAAATTCGATGTTGACACTGAAAGACGGTGTTGCGACAAAGAGCAACAGTTGATGGCTCTGATGGGTAAAGGCTGTTGTGGTGCACATAAGATGGCAATACAAGAAAAGTTCAATGAGAAAAAATAGCGTCGGATATAATTCATTGACATTTTATTTTGTAATCTACATACGTTAGAAATCTTGATCAAAATTTTTAAACAGTTTTTTTTCCCTTTTTAAAAACTTTTAAAATGCGTTTATTTATCTAGGAATCTTTGGCATTTTCATATTAATTTTAAATACCCTTCCTTATGTTATAAGTAACATTCATTTAATTTATAATAAAAAATAATCAAATATTTTGCGGTTTTTGTTTCTTTTTTTAACATATGTCCTTCAAGAGTTGACGGAAATGAACTTTGAATAGTTTAAATGTCTTATTAAAGATCGATGATTTGGTAAGTTGAAGGCTGGACTATCAAGTCTCAAACTCAACTGTCAAGGGACCGATTTTTGTCAGGGTTTCTTAAGAAAAAGCTTATATCCAACTTTAGTTATTTGACGTGTCATAAAAACAGAAAGAATTTGCCCTGTCTTCTGTGCCTTTTATGCGATGTTCATGTAATTGATTGTTTTAAGAGTATCTGATAAGATGGGCGAGGATGAAGAAAACGATAAGAAGAAGAAAAAGAAGAATGCGTCAAAATATAATTATTCTTTCGGCGATGAATATCCAGGTAAAAAGCGTATTTTTTTATCTTTTTTCTGAACTTTAGTAAACAATATTAAGATTGTTCAATGTCTCGTCTCGTTCATCGTTATATAGGGAATCTGATTGGCCACAAGGCATGCAATCCATTCCAGCCGGGCCTACCGGTGCCTGCGGAGATGGGTTGGCTGTGGAACGCAACAGATATTCCCGGCCTGAAGGTAAAGTAGTAAAAAGTTATACTTTCTTGTTTTAGCCATTTTATTCTAGAGAAATAAAATTAATAACGAATTTACTTTATCATTTTCTAGCCACGGCGTGGTTGGACGCCGGGTGGCATTGGGAAAACTATCGCTAAAATGATGACCTTCAAATGCCCTCGAGGAGGTCAAGACAAGGATAAGAGTAAAAAGAAGAAGAAGAAAGGGCAAAGACCTGGTGCCGACATGGGGGGAGGTGATTCGGAACCCGAAGAGCCACTTGAACCCAAGCCCGCGTTGAAAGTGCAGAGAAAAGGAGACGTCTTTACTATACAGGTAGTCTAAACTGGCTTCTTTGATATTTTATTACCTTTTTCATTATATTTGCGAGATAAAAACAGACAGTAAATCTACTTGAAAGGAATTTACTTTAGTAACATTTGTAGCTACACTAATTGGTGCTATTTGATGGTATCAGTCCACGTTTAAAATCCAACCAACAATGTATAATATTTGACTTGAAAGATATTTTAGTTAAAAGTGGTCCATCTAAGATAAATTTATTTTTGTCAAGGTTAATCCGCTAAAAGATCTTACTGAGATCGATCCTAATGAAGATCCGTACGTTGACTGCGATCCAATGGTCTTTAAGATTATAAAAAAACGCAGTCCCGAGGAACAGGCTAAGGTGGAAGCTCGTAAGATGGTTAAACTGAAAAAGCAAAGAGACGCTGATATACGTAAAGCATTGGCCGAAGCGGCAGAGGATATCTGCAAATGTGCATACATGGATGTATATTGTAATGATTTGAGTGCAATAGATAAGGTTATCGAGAGTTGTCCCGCTTTTAAAGAACCTGATTGTATTTGTAAAGAGGAATCTCTTAGTTCTTTATCAAGTAATGCAACTTGGGATATAGAGTATACTCCACCATTTGGTTGCTTTGATTTAGCCCCACGTAGACGTCAGAATCTCATACATGTTGAGACGCAGTATTTGCCAGAAGATGCAGGCATTGTAGAAGTTGCGAAAGTCAATAAGAAATCGTTCACCTCAATCAAGCCAAAAAAGGTTTGCGGTCAAAAGAAATTGAGAAAGACTTGTACACCGTGTTCCAGTTAAGTTATTTTGTTGGTATTAAATAAAGAAGTTTTGTCTATTAACTATTTAATATTGTGTATTGTAGTAACTATTAGATTTAATTCGCACACTAATAGAGAGAAATTATGCACAGTTTTTTCTAGCATTGAAATTCGTGTTGACACGACTTTCTTTTTCTATAGAGTTCATAAATTAATTTGCTTGTTGACATTGTCTGGATGACATGAGATAGTTTTAAATATTTAATTAATTTATTTAGAAATAAGATATCCCTTGTTTAAAACATTTATTAATATACAGGATGTCCGGGGATGCCGTGAACTAAAGAAGACAAGTTTCTTGACCAGAAATATTATATACTAAAATTTTAACTAAAATGTCGGTTTGGTTCGTCGTAATATGGCTTTTAAATGGTTACGATGAAATCAACGTCTTTTCCGAAGTAGTCAAATTTTATTATTTTGTTTTAAATTAAAATTGTAGTCATTTGTTTCGACAAAATTAAGCTACAAGCTAGCTTCTTTAATATCTTATGATTGTTGACAAAATGAGTGTTGTAGTTTAAGTTTTTTTTTAATAAATTTTCATTATTACCGAACAAGTTTTTTTATTATTATTTTTGTTATATATCGGTGTAAAGGATGATTAAAACCAAATCTTATTTTAACATAAAATTAATTTACAGCGATGTGAATTCAGTAACGAAGAATAAGATTCTTTGTACACGAATTTACAATTTTATTTCCTTTATCCACTACACGTGTTGTGTCGATGTAATATATTATGACACTACAGGGAAGAAGACGAAACGAATGTCTTCAAAATCGGTACATTTGGAAAGATATAAGAATGTTTCTTTTTATATCCAGAACAGCAACAGTTTTGGTTGAAAGGACAAATAAGAGGCTGGTATAATGCTAAGTTTTTTGTTCATGTGGCAAGTCACGGGCAATATTAATACTCACGTCTGCTATATCGATGGTTCGGTACAGTAATACCCTTGCTGAACACTGACGCTAGTAAACTGGTCACAATCACCATAGCTCCACCAAACGCTAAGGATTTAGGGTCGAAGTTTATTTTGGGTAAACCCTGTAACATAATATTCATGGTTATTCTATTGCACCTGGGGATTAGACAAAGTACATTCGCTTAGAAACGATACCATAGTGAACTTCAAAAATATATAGAACTGACAATAATTTTAAGATAAGTCACAATTTTGAAGATCGCTATGGAATCGCCTTCGAGGCGAATGCATTTTATCTAACCTCGCTGCAACGTTATATTTTCTATTTTTTAAATATCATAAGGTGGCGAACGAGCGAGCGGTCACCTGAAATCGCTTAAATAGCGAAGTGACCGTTGTCAATAGACATACGCAATTGCATATGCGTTGCCTATATTTAATCGACGAAGAAGAGGATGCACAGAAAGAAAATATTTTCCCTTTCCATGCATCCTCTCATCCGGAAAGTCCATTTCCACTTCCCATCCTTTCCTGATAAGAAAAAGGCTAGGAAGGGAAAGAGGACTAAATTAGGCCTCCGGGACGCACACTCAGAAGACGAAATGCGGAATTGCTTCCAATTGACGCCTGTCTTCTGTGTGGTCGTGGTATTTCACCGGGCGAGCCGGGCCAATTCGTGCACAGATGTTAAAGCGGGCTCTACCACAGTTAAATTTCTTGCGATTTCGTCATATTGTTATTATAGACTAAGATCCCATGGTCGGCAGACTTATGTAATTTTAGATAAGCAACACCAAAAATAAAATATAAAATTTTTTTACTTACCAAAGTACCATCGGGATGAAAGTTAAAATTTTCTTTTATTGGTATTTTTAAAAATGGAATCGAGAAATCTAAATTCACCTGAAATAAACATAAATTATAGTATAATAATTTTGTCCAAACTATGTAAAACTGTAGCATAAAACCTCGATAAATACGTACGCCAATTCCATCAGAGAAAGAATTAAAAGAGATTATCTTCGGTGACCTTTGTTGTTCATTTTTATCGCAGACGGTTAAAGTTATGAAACAAAGGATTAACACACTTTGTGGTGACATTATTAGAAAAATATGAGCTAATAAAAAGCGGTGTTGAACGCTCGAAAATATTTATGCGTTTGCCGTAACTTAAAGTTACTAAAGTTGTCACTTTAGTTTCCTTATTGTCCACTAATAATGGAATGAGAAAGATTCGACATCTTTGCACAAGAGCGCTTGGTTATAGAGTTATGATATAACAGACATGGCAACTACACTATTTAACTTTTTCCTTTATCAATAACCATAATAATGTTAGTCGATGTCACTATTCCACATGACGACAATCTCGTGAAAGCTGAAAAGGAAAAATTGTTAAACTACCTAGATTTGGCTCACGAGGTTACCGCCATGTGGCGCATGAAATCGACTACCATTATTCCGATAGTTGTATTGGTGAATGGACTGCTAGCGAAGAGCTTCGACCAACATCTCAAGAAGCTCTCGCTAAACAGTTGTATTAAGGGCACGATACAAAAGGCTTAAGGTTATCCTAGAAAATGCACGCATCGTGAGTAGGTTCATGTATCTGCGGCCCTGACCACTGGTTGTTTGAGTCACGGGACTCCGCAGCCGGTGTTGCTGTATTTTTAATATTATATAATATATTTTGTATAATTTTTTATTTTATATATGAAATGTAATATATTGAGAATAATGTTAATAAATGAATAAGAATTATTTAAGATAAAGTTTCTAACATAGATTTATTGCAGTGAATTTTCGCAGCCGAAAACTTTTTCATCTCTATTTTTTAACAGAAAATGAGGGGTCTGATAATAAGTTGGTATTTCAGCACTGGCAATTCAATTACCTTTTAATTTAGTCTATTTTGATGATTTTTATGATAATGAAATCATTTTATTAGAATGTTTATAAATGCTTTTAAAAAGTCAAGGTTGTACGCAGCTCAGCTCTCGAAGGCGGACGTTACGGGTGACAAAACCTATATCGTATTTGGTGTGGTTATACTGACCCTAAGCGGAATTGTATTTTTTTTACATATTGAAAATATTTGTTTTTTAAACTTAAAACAGAGTTTAACTGTTTTTACTATACAAAGTAATATTACGTTATTTTTATTCCATGCTGTCCGCTCTGTAAGTTTCGTTGGTTTTTACTTTAGAACGCTTTGATGATTTGAGACAATTTCACACTGGCTGAAGTGTTTTACTTATCTTCACATTACATTGTTCATGTTGCTGCTACAAAATACCTTTGTCTATTTACTTTTTTTATTATTTACTAGCTTAACTCCTCATGCGCTTTGATGCAAAGAAAAAAAAATGAAGAGTTTTTTGGTGGACCGGTAACGCATTCCGGACAATCCTCATCATACTAATATTATAAATGCGAAAGTTTAGATGGATGGATGTTTGAACTTATCTCCGGAACGGCTCAACGGATGTTAATGAAATTTGAGACAGGTGTAGAACGTAATTTGGAAGAACACATAGGCTACTTATTAGGTATTTTAATCCCGCGCGGACGGAGTCGCGGGCGACGGTTAGTGTACACATAAATTAAAATTAAATAATCGATATTAAGTTTTAAACGTTATAATCATTTTAAAACAATCTTGTAATCTCCCGTATGGTCTAGTGGCTAGGATACCTGGCTTTCACCCAGGAGGCTCGGGTTCGATTCCCGGTACGGGAAACCTTTTTTCTATTCTTTCGTACAAGTATTGGAACTAAAATCTATTATTTTTACCCGACTGATTTCTTTCTGCGTTTTTCGAGCAATGTAAGTTATTTTTATGTATGTGGCGTAGAATTAAGTAAATTTCATTGTGACAGCGAACGCCTTAACGAATGAACCGATTTTGACGTGTGATGTGTCATTCGATTCGTTTTCTTCCCCAGAGTGTCATAGAGTATAGTACATCGACACAAAACACATGTAGTGGATGAAGGAAGTAAAATTCTAAATTAGTGGAAAAAAGAATCTTAATCTTAGTAACTTAATTCACATCGCTAAATAACTTTTTAGATTTTTTTCGAGTATATTCTAAAATAATAAAGTGTTTTAGATAGAATCAGAGTTTCAAATTTAAATTATGTAATTAATTTTTAAATCTTTGTTTCAAAAGGTACCCAATAGATGGCGCTATTCATAAGAGCCTCTGTCAGTTGTTTTTTTTATAAAAGATTTCAAATGAAGTAAGTGAACCAATATTTACTTTGAAATTTAGAGTTGTGTAGAGATTCGCATTCTACGCGATGATGTACTTATAATAAGTAATTATGGTTATTTATGTTACTCTACTATTTCTACACAGCTCTACTTTCTTTTACAAGCAGTGACAACTGTTTTGGACAAAATCGTAATCATAATATTTGGAGCATAAAAGTGTGTATACATTGTTCACTTGCTGGTATATCATCATTTTAAATCATGTAATTTTAAATGAAATACCAGTGTTTTCTTTAGCTTGCTAAAAACCTGTAATACAAAGTGGATGTCTAATTTAATTACGTAAAAAGTTGGTTTTCTAACAAGATAGACTTTGATGTCAGATAAATACCTGCACAAAACATATCTACTGCTATTTTATTTGAGACAAAGCAGTAATGTCATGTATGTACATGTCCCCACTGAGGGGCACAGATCCTAGCCTATGTTAGGGGTGATTAGGCTATAGTCAACCACGCTGGTCCTGTGTGATTGATTTCGAAGACCTTAGAATTTCTTCGTTGATATGTGCAGATTGCATCACGATGATTTTCTTCACCGTAAGAACGTTATATATACATACTAGCTGTCGACCGCGACTCTGCCCGCGCTGATTAAAAAAAAACTTAATTAGTGGCCTATGTGTTCTTGCAGACTATGTTCTATTTCTATGCCAAATTACAGCCAGATCCATGCAGCGTTTCTAGAGATACCTTGAAACAAACATTCGCGTTTATTACATTAGTATGGTGTAAATCGAAAAACACATTGGTACATGGCGGGAGAACCCAGGACTTGTAGATAATTTAACCCCTGAGCCACCAACACTTTTGAATTATGTTATATACTTACGTGCAAAATCTTCCCGCTTCGATACCATCAGGTTAAATACCGTAACGACAACAGTAAAAGTGTTGTGCAACTAGACGATGTCTCGACGCACGACAATGCAGTTTCCTAAGTCATTGTTTATATCCAAAGTATGGAACGCATAATATAAAGTATGTAATGGACGTATGGAATCCGGCAGTCTCGTTTCTAACTTCAAAATGAGTGGAAATATTTCTTTTGTTATATTTATTACAGCTTGTATAGCTTTAGCGGCAGCCAACTATAGGAGCGATGGGTATGTTTTATTTTCTTTTTTTTATTGGAGGGAAGAAGGAAATGTCCAACGATTTTCTTGTAAGTCCAAAACAATCTTTCATTCGCGTTCTCAATTACTATGTTACGATTCGAAGGTTTTATGAGGGTGGAAATAGGCCACCGAAAGTTGATATATTCAAGTATTTTATATTATTTAAATTATTGATATTTGAATCCTAGACCATGTGATCGGATGTAGTCCAAACCTTTACACTATTGGCGCTTCAATTACTGGCAGTGGTCGATGATACTTTTACTAATATTAGAAACGCGAATGTTTAGATGTATGGCTGGATGTTTTTAAAAGGTATCATCAGAACGGTTCAACGGACCTTGATTAAATTTGGTACATATGTAGAGCACAGTCTGGAAGAACACATAGGCTACTTACTAAGTTTTTTGACACCCTGTAGACGTCGCGCACGACAGCTAGTTATTAACTATAAGATTACATTTCCAGAGGTTTCATGCCAAGTTCTGCATATCAACATACAGAAGACCAGTTAGCGGAGCCGTCATCACGGCTAGAGAAAGGTAGTAGAGAGGAAAGAGACAATCAGCCCGATAGAACGCAGAGATTCGGCATTTCTGCGTACGGGACCACCGGGGTAAGTTGTCCAGTGGCTTTTGGCTGTTATACTCTGACGATATTATTGTTAGAAATTGGAACACTTCGTTCTCTTAATGATCCTTCGATTAAGTCAAAACGAGTTTGCATTTTTTTTAATTTAAATTAATATTTAAGTTAATACGGAAGAATATTTCGCCATAGATTCAATATTAATTATGTGATTTCAGTCTCCCTATGGTGGGACCGCTCCGGGTATTTACGGCCCAGTAAAGATCGACTTGGGCGGAGTACTTTTAGGTTCGATTTTAGGCTTTGGTGCTGTTATAATACTGCCTAAAATTATACACGCCTTCTCTTATGGATATGGTGGTGGCTACGGCAGAAGTGAGTGCTCTTCTAAATATATTTAAACCCTTATGCCACTAGCAAATAGCGGCATTCAATGTGTTAACCTTCACTCTGTCATCTCGTTTCTAGAAGACTTGGCTCATACTTTAACATCTCCCTACAGGTGTGGAGACAGATTTCAATCAAGTATCGGATATGTTCGGCAAGTTAGACGAGACATTGAGTAGATATAATGTTGATACTGCGGCCTGCATGCAACGTCTGACCTGCTCTTACGTGCAACTTGCCAACGAAAACATGGCAGCTGGGAATGCGAGTGACTTTGATGTACTGCTTGCTTCTTTATCTAGGTGAAGTATTTAATAACGTCTAGTAGATTTTCTTTATTTTGTTCGTAACTATCCTTTTTAGGGTTCCGTACTTCGAAAGGAAAAAACGTCCTTTAGGATCACTTTGTAGTTCGTCCGTCTGTCTGTCGACCCTTTTTCTCAGGAACGCATAAAGGTATCAAGCTGGAATTTATTTTCGACGAATATTAGTGACAAGCGCCTTCATAACGTCATCGACCGAATGTCAAAATTTTATGACAGTTGTTGGTGTACTTTACGCCCGGTAGGGGCGCTGCACAAATAATACTTTCTCGATGACGTTACGAAAAAAATTTCACGAATATTCATGCTAGGCCCTTAGAATTGTGCCCAAATTATCTCACCGATACCAAAAAAGTATTCGTTGCATCGTTTCCTGCAAATTGCGAAGCGCCATAAATTTTGGTCGGTACTAAATGGGTTTATAATTGCCCGTTACATTGTGGTTACTTGCATTTTAAATTATAAGGGGATAGTTACCTTGGGTTTCCGAGACCAAAATTTAAAACATATTACCTCTGTTTTGTCAGAGATAATGACAGGGATGGAGATATATTTTTGGTCTCAGACACCAAGGGTTGGTCGAGTTTTTTTTTCATTATTAATTATTTATTTCAGTAATTCTCTGGTTCGTCGCATGATAGATGGTACTACTATTTTCGAAGCGATGTCAGTTGGTAAATCCTTGGATACAGATTGCCAAGTTGAATATCCCAAATGCAAGTTGGACAAGAAGACAGTTATCAAAATTATGTCGCAATTAATACCATCATAAGAAAATTTAGTTAAAAATATTAGATGGAATAATTTACACGATTATTTCCTATTCGTTTTAAATGTATTTTTACAGAAAAATAAATAAATGCTATTAAAAATATATTTTTTTAATTTTATGCCCACTTTTGAAACATTTTTAATGCCTATTTCCACCTAACACCTTGTCGTCTTCTATATACTTACGGTTTTTTCCACTGATGTAACTGCGGTAAACACAGAATAGCGACTTTAGTCGTATTATGTTAGCAGTGGAAATAGACATTAAGGAGGCATTCGCACGGGCGCTTTTTTAACGTATTAAAACGCGTTCAAATAAAACAAATGCATTTTTATATATCTGTTGATACGGCGTTTTTGAACCGCGCGTTTATCGCTTAACGGAGAGTTAACAAGGCGTAAAAAAATAAGCAAGTAACAGTGGTAGAGCCCGCTTTAACATCTTCGCACGAATTGGCCCGGCTCGCCCGGTGATGTACGACGACCACACAGAAAACAGGCGTCAAGTGGAAGCAATTTCGCGTACAGTCTGATGAGTGTGCGTCCCCGGAGGCCTAATTTAGTCCTTTTTCCCTTCCCACACTTTTTGTTACATGAAAAGAATGGGAAGTGGAAGTGGACTTTCCGGATGAGAGGATACATGGAAAGGGAAAATATTTTCTTTCTGTGCATCCTCTTCTCCGTCGATTAAAGGTAGGCAACGCATATGCAGATGCGTATGTTTATTGGCAACGGTCAACGGTATTTCAGGTGGCCGCTCGCTCGTTTGCCACCTTAAGATATAAAAAAAAACCGTGCGAATCCAGGCTTAGAGGTTATAGGCGAATAAATGAAACAACTAAATATATAAATTTAACAATTTTATTAGATCAACACCAAACCCTATCTACATCTGATATGCTCGGCTGCTCAAACATCGACATATGACCCATTCAATCTTTCATTTCATACTATATCTATTGGAATACGTTGAAAACGTTTCCTTGGCCAGTATTTATCTATCTGTAAGTCCGGATATTTTTAACGTAGAAAGACCATATTTCCACAAAGTAGCGTCGTTGGCCTTTGGCCGACTTTTTCAACAACGTTGATTTCCTCGCGCGCACAATCACGCGGCTAGCCGCTTAGTGGAAATAGCCACTTAATGTGCTTTTACAAATTATTTTTAAGAGGGCACAACAGTGACATTTTTGGTGCAATTATAATGAAGATTTTAGATAAAGCACAGATATCTCCAAGTAAATGAATTTCTGTAATTATCGGCAGTGGAAATTCACCCTTAAAAGACATTTGATTTGGCGCTCCCACTTTTGAATATAGATTTCTTTTAAGCTAGAGTTGCCATATGGCTTTGCGGTCAGTTTTACAATTGACGTTTTGCCATACACGAACCGTAGTACAGTAACCGTTAAAAGACAGTCCAACAGTCAGTATATGGCGTCCCTTAATTCATCATTTCTATACAATGTTACTTTAAATCACTCCATTAGCACCCATCGCTTATAATTATATTGAATCCCGCGTAATTATTGTCTTAAAATGCATAATTATGGCAGTAAACAATATTGTTTATAAATGTTACTTCTCACTTTTATACTCAAACAAGAATATCTGGTCCCGGTGAGTTTTCTGTCAGAAAATATATAAAACCTACTTAGAGAATGACGTAAAAAGAAATATAAGACATGCAGTCACTGACAGCTATACATGGACAGGCTATAAGCCGTGCTATTTTGTGCCTATTTGATTTTCACTTTCTTCTTGTTGCTGCGTTCTTTTTCTTCTTCTTTTCTTTCTTTCCCTTTCTTTCTTCTTCTTGCGCTGACGTTTGTGTTTGTGGTGGTGAAGATTGGAACTACTAACTGTTGAATTCTGAGGCCGCAATCAATATATGCTCACCGGGTCAGATAACGTTGTCTGTATTCATACTTCTCTATGTTGTAATTGACATTTTTGACAATTGTATAGAAAAATTTGGAGCACCAAATCAAGAAAGGGGGCGTCCATAAATTACATGAGGTGTTTAAGGGGGGGGGAGGGGGGTCGAGTCAAATCTTATGTAATCTTACGTTGGAGAGTGGGGGATCTACGCAAATGCCACGCAATTTTTTTGTCTGATTTAAACATAAAAAAAAATACTATTTTGGTCCATTTAATCGTACAATACGTAAGAAACTCACATTTTGAAAAATCTCACGTGAGATTGGAGGATGGGGGAGGAGGTTGAATGAAATCTCACGACATCTCATCATCAGAAAATTTAAAACATCTCACGTAATTTATGGACGCCTCCAAAACAGCTAAATTGAACATGAACATGACAATCGTCTGGTTAACTTTAAGGCGAATAGTTGATTTCTGAGACCAAAACCTGTTTAAAACATATCATCCCTGTAATTATCTTTGATAAAACAGAGATAACAATATACAAAAGATTTTGGTCTCAGAAACCGACAATAGATTTTATACCATTTACAATGTATAAATTCACAACCCTATTTTGGCTTCGCAAATCGATAGAAAGATCCATCCGAGGAAAAGAGTTATATCTCTTAAGAGTTAGAACTTTTTTCAAAGCATGAGACTAAAAATATTTGGGTTTCGTCATTTGGGCAGTTTATTAAAGGCCACTACAACACTATCGTAAGACTACGAACTTACCCTGAATCAGGCTGACTAAATAAGCCTAATTGTATTTCGGTGTTAAATTCATTTCACAAGTTAACATGCGAACATTTCTTTCTTTTATTTATAAATAGCAGGTCTATTTAAGGGTTGTACCACACAAACGGTTGCGCCAAGTTTTAATTACATGAATATTGCTACATTTGATTTGGTAGCTAATTTTAGGCGGATATTGGCAAATGGAATCAGTATTATATGACCTCAGACCTTTACTGTTTTGACATCCATATTAATATACTAGCTGTAGCCCGCGACCTACTCAATATGCTCACAAAATTTCATGAGAATCGGTCAAGTCGTTTCGGAGGAGTATGGAAACGAATATTGTGACACGAGAATTTTATATATAAGCGAGAAACCTCTGTAAGCGAGAGTCATTGTCCGGTCTCTTCATAAGCGAGAAACTCGGTTTAAAAAGAAACCTCTATAAGCGAGAAAATACCCCTATATTCCCTTGTACTCTCGCTTATTCACTTTCGACTGTATATCCCTTAATGCAGACGTAAGCCACTGTTATGTTTAATTTTATGTTTTTTTTTATATTGTCAAATGAATTTTTTTGGTCGTTTTTTTTTGCGATAAAAAATTACAGAGTAAAAAAAAAACTTTTTCGAGTACTGTTATTTTGAACTGGTCATAAATTAATTTATTGTAAAGTTATATTTTTTTTAGATATATCTTATATAAAGAATGTTTTTTTAAATATATATAATTAATTCAGGTGGAAAATACTTTTGTGTTGCTCCGAAGAATATGATTTTATATTAAAAAAAATATATTGACGACCATATTTAATAATTAAAAATTTTTATACAGTTTTTTTTGTAAAATATTTCTTTGGGATAAACGAAAAAATTTATAGAATTTTTTTTATGGTGTTATGCCACATCTAGAAGCAGTTTGGCTTATATCCATGATTTTTTTCATCTTTAAGTGCTAGATATATTTTTGTTACTCTTTTCAAATAAACTTGTCTTTGTTAATTTTATTGCTTGCTTTTTTTAAGATTTTATGATAAAATATTAAAGAGATAAATAAAAAAAATATTTGACATTTTTACAGAATCAATTTTACGTTGTTTTTTGGCCAAAATTAAAAATTAAATTTTTCACACGTGATGAAATAGCGCAAATATAAACTTGATAAGAATATTTTAAACGTTCGTTTAATGTACTTTTTACATAAAAAAAATAAAACATAATTTTTAAACATTTTTTTTCAATAAATTTTACAATTTTTTTTTCGAAATTTTACAACTGGCAAGGTTTTAGAACAATTCAATAACATGAAATAAAATTCAAATTAAAAAAAAATCGCGGTATAAAATATATTTTAAACCGTCCTTTGACATCTTTATTAGCAATTTATGTAAATGGAAATGGGCAAATTAGTTGAAAGATTTAGTCAATTGTGTTTCAGACTGACCACTTTATTCCACTAGAGGCTATAAGCCGTGTTATTTTGTGCCTATTTGACATTAAAAGTAGCATTTGCTAGTAATTGACAGTAACTTCAAATTACTTTAAATTGTAACAAATCAAAAGATGTAATATTGTAAGATCGTATCCAGTGGATATTTATAGTTCAGTGGTTTCAGAGGTATTTCTAAATAAAAAAAATGAGCAATTGTTTATGGCTGGCTGTACGCCGCGGTGGTATACATTATAAAATTATCTATGGTCTATGGTATTGGAATTTCTGACAGCTACGATATATTCAAATTTAATATTAACATTAAGTGAATATTAAACGGAATTTATATTAAAAACAGAACTATAGCACATTAAGGAATGTTTCGGAGCTGTCCATATTTTTTAGAATAACTGAATCTTTTTATATATTTAGTTCTAAATAATAATTGCAAGAAAACCTGGGATTTAAAACTGGTCACATGTAAGAGAAAATAATTAAATAAAACTATAATTAAAACGCCTGTTTAACTAAACATTGTACTCACAAGTCTTGAAGTTTAGAATAGAATATTTACCGTGGGTTTCTGAGACTGAAATCTTTAAAAACATATTGGTTTTAAACGGAGATTTGGCTCTCAGAAGCCCACAGTTACTAATAAAATGCATAACTAAATCCATTTGAAATTATATAAAAATGAACATGACATACCTTGAATAAAAACAATATTTCATTTGACGTATACATTAAATCCATACAAAATTGTATGGACAGTTGTATTTGTGATGTTTTTTGTGGATGTATTTTGTAGGTTTATTGTTGGTAAATATAAATTACAGTGTGGGCCTTGTTCACTGGACTAATGTACTGAAGAATGGGTGGGCGTATGTCATTGGTCTGACGTTTGGATGAGGCTGGAATAAGAAAAAAAATATATTAGACCCTTCGTACACAAACATACGTAAATCTTCGTAGCTTGGCGATTTAAGTCGCTTAGCGATTTACGTATCACAATTTGATAGAGGTTTGTAGAGCGAGTCGCCGCCATTTCTATCTGCTATAGTCAAAGAAAGTCCTTTGCAAACTCTTTGTCTAAATGGTTGTATGGATGGTTGTTGTAATTTCCAAGATGGCGGAACAAATAGACGATTAGCGTCGACGATTTAATATTGTGTGTACGGAGCGTGGATTTAATAGAGGAGGGAACGCATAGGAAGGGGAAATATCCTTTTTCTGTGTGCTCTGTTTTTTCGCCATTTCAGCGAATTCAATTGACCGTTTATAACTTTGCCAAATTTAATAATTAAAAAAACACTTACCACAGCCTCGTACGTCGTGAAGTTTGGCTTCAAATCTTTACCATTCATTGTTATAAAAGCTCCCAGGTTCGCCATTGTGTCACTGTAAATAAAATAAATCATTCATCTATCTGATTAGTATGTACTTGAGGACTAACTTTAGTCTCCTTCTCTTCCTATCTTTTTATACGAAAAGGTTAAGAAGGAGACGTGGATATGGCAGAGGAGGGGAAAATCTTATATTTATGCGTATTTAAATGCAGATTTCTATTCATCATCAGCTCATGGTACGTCCCTACCGAGGGGCTCGGAGCCTATCCTATGTTAACGGTGATTAGTCAACCACGCTGGCCAAGTGCAGGTTGGTTGACTTCACACATATCTTTGAATTAGTCCATACACTTTTGGACATATTCCTTATGCTAAATATCAATAATAAGTTCCTTTTTTTATTTTTTCTTTGTGATAAAAAGCTGAGGTCATGTAGGCAGGAAAAGAAAATACATTTTTGACTTACCAATAATTCGGTGCGGAGAAGACGGTGATACATTTACCATCATGAGCTACTTCGTATCCATCGCTCTTGACCTCGTGGCTCCTGATGATGTAGTCGAGGCGGTTCCTCTCTAGGAAGCTGTGGGTGACGTCAGGTCCGAACTGACAGCCAACACCTCGTTTTGATGGTGACCGTCCTACCATTGGCTGCGGGTCTGACCATAACAGCTCGCACATTATACCTGTAAATTTTTGACATTGATTATTTATACAAATATACAAATTAACTAGCGGTCGCCCGCGACTTTAGCAGTACTAAATAAAAAAAGTTGCCTATACATCAGGTACCTTCCCATCAAAGCCCCATCTAAATAGGTCCAGCCATTCTGGAGATTGCACAGAACAAAAGTAGCTTTATGGATAGACATACAGTTAAAAAAAAATTAAAGTTTGTTTTACGTTATCAGCAACGTAAATACATTACTTGTACTAATTATATTTTTTTACTCGATATTACATACAGACAATCCAATTTTATTCATATGTATAAACAATAAATATAGCTTAATGCAACCCTAAAACCTATACCCTTTTAATATATCAAATAGATTAAAAGCCGTTGTGTAATTAGAAATAATATTTACATAAAAACACACCATTCAAAATTTCTTTGCTTATAAATTTAGAAATAACACTAATAAAAGATTCCAGCTGAATAATTCTTCAATAAGACATTTTTCGTTTGACTTTATATAATTCAAACTGTTCACTCACCATCTTCCGGAGGCTGTTTATTTCTATCCACGTTCCGTATATCGTCTAGCGTGACGTCATCACTAGAGAACAATCCACCGTGCATCACCAGCACTCTGTTATTAATACAATGAGCCAGCGGCAACCAGTTGTAAACTTCCGTGAATAAATCCGCCATTTGTGCTGTGTATTTAAATGTCACTTCACCACGGAACCCATACATACGGTTCATATCCAATGATTCATGATTACCTGGAATGTATAAATGGTGTATTAAAAAAAAATTTTTTTTGCAAAATTACAATTTTTGTATCAACCTGTAGTAGTTTTACGGCTGTTATTCTGAGAAAGGCATAAGTGACATAATTTTTGAACTTTTACTAAAAAATATTTGATATTTTAACAGTAGTAGAGCCCGCTTTAACATCTTTGCACGAAAGGGAAAATACGGAACTCTTATAGGATCAGTTTGTTGTCCGTCTGTCTGTTAAAGCCTTTTTTGTATTGACACATGTTTGTTTAGTACTAAGATCTTACAAAAATTAAATTTGCTAAGAAAATTAAAAAAAATTACCATAAGAAAACTTTAGCTCAAGTCACTTCAAATAGTTCTAAATAACCTCGCATACAAAATCAATTAGCAACTTACCTCGTGACATGAAAAAGTGGTCGGGATATAAAAGTTTAAAACTAAACAATGTGAATATACATTCAACACTGAAAGATCCTCGGTCGACAAAGTCACCATTGAACAAGTAAGGGTTCTCTTCAGACGGTAATCCATTTAACTTGAATATATTCATCAAATCGTAGAACTGGCCATGTATATCACCACATACAGTGAACTTTTTGTCATCCGGTACTTTGATATCGACAAGAGTTGGCTGATTACTTAAATATGCTTTAACATCAATGAGGATCTGGAAAAAATGTTTTATAAAAAGACAACATCGCATCTTTATCTTACTAACTGTCAAAGGAGACTCCGTTTGCGGGGAATAAAAATTAATTAGTAGCCTATATGTTCTTCCAGGTTATATTATACATCTATGCCAAATTTCAGTGAGATCCATCCAGCTGTTCTGGAGATACTTTCTAAGAGACACCCATCCATACATCCAAATATTCGCACTTAAAATTTTAAGCTGACGACCGCAACTCCGTCCGATTGAAATTAAAGCATAATAAGTAGCCTATGTGTTCTTCCAGGCTTCAACACCTATGCTTAATTTCAGTAAGCTCCTTGCATTCATTCTGGAGATTCTAACAGACATCCATCCATACATTCAAATGTTAATAAGATTATGAGGTGGTAATAATCCATATATTTACCTTATATGCATATTTCTTGTGTAGATGTTTTTCTTGTTTGTAATGTTCAATTAAATCATTTATAAATTTAACTGTCACTTTACCATCTTCCAGCATTGGACCTTCATATTCATCTTCAATTGCTGGAATGAAAATAAACAAATCATAGATTTTTTCACGGAACTAAGTAAATTAAAAAAAAAAATAGTAGCCTTATTTTAGACTATGTATAACATCTGTGTCAAATTTCATATGTAGATATGTAGCAACAAACATCTATCCATCCATCCAAACTTTGCCAAAAACCTTTATAGGAATTTTTAAACAAGCATTATATTGATCGGAAACATAGAACAATACAAAAATATTAATTTTATTTTCTATTCCTTATTATGTTAGAAAATTAAAAATATCTTACTCATAGCATCAAGATTGATAGAGTCTGCTATATTCACTTCCTTCTTGTCCACGGCTATTGCTTTTTCAAATGCAATTTTCTTAACAATCTTATTACATTCAGTATATTTCATCTTAGCATCCTGGTCATTTGGCCTTACTTTGGTTACCTGAAATAAGTAAAAATAGTCTATGAAACAAAGAAATCTTCAGACTCCTTTCCCACTAAACTTAGTAATACAACTACTGTTAGTTAACGCAGTGAAATTGCGGGAAGTATAAAAGACTTAAAAAATAAGAATTGCATATGTGATAAGATATGTAAACAAAAAAATATAAATCTATATTAGTCTTTAAATATATTTTATATGTTATTTGTGGTCAAATATTTTCCTTATATCAGAAAACAAAATACATTTAGAAGGAAATTATTATTATATTGTAATCGCCCATGACTCCATCCACATGGTATTTAAAAAAAAACTTAGTAGCATATGTGTTCTTCCAGACTATGTTCTACAATGCATACTGAAGATACCTTCAAACAAACATCCATCCATCCATTTACAATTATAATATTAGTAAGATAATAAATCACACTAGGAAATATACATAAACATATTCTGTATTTTATATGTACAGATTAAAATATTTATATTTATCAGTAGATATGCATTATGTAACAAAATAATAATACTAGTCAATTAAAAATGTTATATAAAAAGGCTTCAAAACTACATAACTTCGCACAGCAAATCTATTTTAATTATCAAATTACAAAATATTAAGCAATTATTATTGTTAACAAAAGTTACTTTTATAAGCAAGAGTTCAAGGGATATTTTTCTTGCTTATAGAGGTATCTCTGAAACTGAAGTCTCTTGCATGCGGTAACTCTTACTTATCCAGCTTCAACTGTTTCCAGTACAACTGGATTGCAATAAATTCATCACAATTAGTTTACCGAGTTCAGTAGTAACCTAGACTGATATAGATGATATCAAAGAACAAAAAGATAATATTTACTTTATAGAGTGTAGTTTTGTTGAATATTAAATCATACTTTTTACTTATATTGGTGCATGTACATAAAGACTACTACTTTTTCTTAAACCACAATTTTGTTACATTACATTTTTATGTTGACAAATTATAAGAAATAAGTTTAATAAAAGCAATAAATTATTATTAAAGTGGGGCCCATAAACGAAATGTAAGAGTAATTGTGTTCAAGTTCAAACCACTGTCCAGGAAACTAGTGGTTTTGTAGATAACTGTTTGTTCTCTGTGGTTGTTGATATGGTTGTATGAGATTATTATACTTACAAATTCAAAATCCTTAAGGGCTAATTTGTACTTTCCTAAAGACATGTGAGCTGCCGCTCGCCTGTAATAGGCCTTTGTATAATTTTTATCCAAATCTATCGCCATAGATGCATCGACGAGCGCGTATCCAAAGTTTTCCAATCTTAAATTAGCTATGCTCCTATTTGCAAAGAAAACCGCATTATTCGGGTTTTTCTCTATTGCTTTTGTGTACAATTCGATAGCAGCATCGTAATTTTGCTCTGAAAATTGAGGTTAGGTTATCGCATACTTTTTATCTTGTCAAAGTTGTCTTCACAAATCCCTTGTAATAGCGATTGTTAATTATTTACGTCATTTTTAATGGTTGATTTAATTTGTACTTACTTTTAAAGAATTCATTAGCTTCATTTTTCAATTTTTCTGCTGCCTCTATATCCTCTTGGGATACTGGCCCGGTTACTTCTGCGTTTGTAGCCATATTTTAATCAATTAAATTAATAATAAAATTAAAGCAATTTATAATTATATTAATCAATCATCGATATTAACGTGATTTTCTTAATGGATATAAAATGTAATCCGTAATTCATGAAAATTTAAGTAATGAATGATGAACGAACGAATTTGTGGATGACTGATAAAGTTAGTGCTGCCATATAATTTTTGATATTTTTGGCAGATTATAAAATAACTAGAATAGTTTTTAACAAACTACCATAAGAGTTCCAAAATAGACATGTAATACATAACTTTATTTAACAAAAAAGTGGTGCTTTTAATATTAATGACCATAATATTTAAAGAATAATTAAATCAATGATTCCATAACAAAAATACTGGCTGCTGGTTTCGTTTTCGCACCGCTTTAAGAGATGGCGCTGTGCGACACTTTATTGTTTTTGGATCGCGGCGCGGGTAAGACTGTTTTGGTCTTTTTGTTAGTTATACAAAGTACTTTGTGGTCTTGGTTTTGCCCCCTGCGTATAACAGAGTTTTTTTGTGTTTATTTCGCTTTCATCATTATATCCTTCTGGCTGTGGTCTACATTATAGTTGTGTAGTTGGAAATTGTAGAAATCGTTTGTAATTCGACTTGTTTGTGTCGTTATTACTTGGTTATAGGTCGTAGAAGTACGAGGAGAGTACGGCCTAAGTTCATGAGTAAATACTGAGTGAATAATCTTTTTACCGGTTCAAGAGAAGTTATAATCTTACAAGCTCCTACTGGGGAGGAAAACTGCTTTTTGCTCGTTATAGTCACGACGATCAAGAGTGCAAGTAGAACTATATTGTTTAAGTAAGTTATTTGTAACAAAAATTAAAAATAGTGATACATTTTTTTTCTTAAATATCGCTACTCTTGACGCTAGCGCCATCTGCTTAGGGCTTTCAGTGTTTCTACCCATTCATAAGTCATTGAGGAAAAAATATATATATAAAAAGATTTAAAAATAAAAATGTTTTATTTCCTTACAAAAATATTGCAAATATAAATTAAATGACTACTTAAAATACAAATTATATAATATTACTTAGACAAACATCTGTAAAGCCACGCAAATAAGCATCACAATAATACTGCTTTTGACTAAGATAGCTGAGCTGGGTTCTTCGCAATCGTCGTTCTGTTGGACCTGAACGAAGTAGGGTTGATGGAGTTCTTCCCTTGTCGCCATATAAGTATTGATGGCGGTTGTACCCGCTGCAGGCATGGTCCTGGTACGACTTAACTTCCATACTCCAACTGAGAACACAAAGATAAAACATGTAAACGATTTACTAGCTTCGATTATTTGTATTTTTAAAGGGTTAAGTAATTATTGCAATTTAAATTAAATTTAAAAAAAATCTCTTTATATCAAATTTAATTTGCTTCTAATTTTCAATAGCCATTCCAGTCAATGATTGCAAGCTGATTGAATTATGTTAAAGGAATGATACCCTTATTATATTATTTAACAGAAGTTAAGTAACGTTTTCGTTTTGTCACTACTAGTGGTCGCCCGCGACTTCGTCACCGCAGAACAAAAGTAGCCTATAATATGCCTGCGTAGATCAGCTACCTTCCTGACAAAGTCCCGTAAAAATCTGTCCAACCGTTCCAGAGATAACACGGAACAAAGGTAGCCTTGCGGACAGTCAGGCAGTTAGACAAAAATGTACAAAACACACTCCAATTTTATTACCTGTATAGATTCATAGACTAAAGACTTACCAGATCTTTGGAACTGATTGACATTGACACAGCTGTACGCGAGAGAATAGGATACGTAGTCTGTGGTAAGCACATACAGTCTTGTGGTCACTGTTGCTGCTGGGTCTGAAATACATAGGTTAGGAATATTATCTACATTTATTCGATTCTTGTACCAGTCTCTCGGAATAATCTTTGTTGTAGGTAAACTAACTTAGGATTCATAATCTAATCTATGATAATCCACTTTTGTCAATGATTTTATCAAAGAGTTCATATTCCGGATCACGGAATTGGTCGAAAGATATCCGTGGACCTAGCACGAATATTTGTGACAATGACCTTCGTACGATGACGTAAATTATGTCAAAATTTGTATGGAAATATGTACATACCTATACAAATTTTGTCGCTGACGATATGAAATGTCACAATTATTGATGCTAGGACCATTAATCATTTAGGAATGTTTCAAAAGTACACCTACCATCACTCAATCTGTCTGGCAATGTCACCACTAAACGAGCGCTGCCATCTGTTGAGTTGATAGTTGCTGTTCCTTCTATGGTGTCCAGAACTCCCTCTACCACCTCCCAGTTGAGTAATGTCACGACGCCAGTGGCCTCGTTCAAGGTGTAGCGAGCGCCAGTGCACGCACCGTTCTCGTGGAATTGTGGATACCTTTCGATTTGGTACCACGTACCAGTGTACTGTCGGAAAAGAAATATATAAGTAGTAATTATTTTCGTAATCATACCAAAGCTGTAGCCCGCATCTCCTTCCGCGCCGTATTAAAAAAGTAAGCCTAATAAAGCCTATGTATTCTTTCTACATCTGTGCCAAATTTCATCAAAATCCGGTGAGTCGTTCCGGAGATACCTTCTAACAAACATCGATATATCCATCCATCTAAACTTTCACATTTATAATGTCAGTAAGATGAAAAGAAAATGTTTGTGGTGTCCTTATGATGGGTTTTTCTTGGTCAGGCTATACATTATTATAATTTACTAAGTCAAAATGAAGCTTGAATAATAAGCTGAACAAAATACCTGTGCGGGGTCGAAGTTCATAACAGCGGGTATGTTCATATCACATTGACCAGGTAAGATGATCTGTCGACCGGTTTGGACGGGATAGTGGAAACAGGCATTGTCACTCTGGTTCACTGGCAGGTAGAATTGTGGATACAAGACGCGGTTGTTTGTAATAATGGGTGCCATCGCGTTCTGAGCAGCTTGAGTTAGTTGCCGTGACTTGCTATGTTTGGCACTCCACACTGGAATTGAAGAATATTTTCATACATCACAGTATAAAACATAAGAACAATTTTCAAACTGCATCGTGGGACCGATTCTTGGTAACAACAAAATTGATTTAAACCGATCGTTCGTCTATTATCAAGTTTGGAAATAATTACGATGACGTCATTAAATCAATGTCGTACATACCACGTCTGTATTCTTGATTGACATTTTCACACGAATACAGGAGAGAGTATGTTTCGTAATCTGTAGCAAGCACCCATATGTCTGTAAGAAAAAAGTATGATAAAAATTAGTACTCATTTTTCTACAATCAATCTACACCTTTCATGCTAACAAATGAACTATCGTAAGCTCTGTTTCCATTATCTTACTCCGACATAGCTTTCAAATATGAATAACTAGCTTTTTCCCGAGACAAGGGGACGAATTAAAAAAAGGGTGCAAAGTTTCTCATTGTGTTACTCCAGAATATGTCTTTTATCTGTACCAAATTTTAATTAGATGTGTTCAATTGTTGCGGAGTTATCGAGTCAATATTACATCAAACGTATCCCACGAGAACCGTACACATTTTCGGAATCATTAATAACATGTGTGTTCTTCTAGACTGTGTTCTGAGTCTATACCAAATTTCATTGAGATCCATGCAGTCATTCTGGAGACACCTAATACATCCATCTATCTAAACATTCGTATAATATTAGTAAGATTGGATGGTGTACTTACCAATAACTCTTCCGTTGCTCAAAGTCTTCCTAAGTCTTCCATTATTAGTCACGGTGATCGTACTGGTGTTAACTACAGCGCTGTCACCAAACACATTGGTGTCGACGACTTGGAATTGATTGCCGGAGGTAACGAACTCGGAACTGATGCAATCACCGAGGGTATCATCAGATGGGTAACGTTCGATCTCATGCCACCAGCCCAAATACTGAAAGTAACAGACAATGTTAGATAAAGAAGAGTTTGAAGCTGAAGTAATTAAAAACTCTTAAAAAGATTTTACTGCACTTTTCAAATAATCAATTAACAGAAGAAAACTTTAGTTATACTCGTATTACAAATAACAGTCTTAGGATTTAGGAAGATTCTTTGTTAAGAAGTCGGAGTGATACAATAGTTGCCTCACTATACTTAACCTAATTTTTGGTTGTATAGTCACTTACACTTCTATTTGTTAGGTATTTTTGGCTTTTTTTAGTAAAAATATTTAGTATTAAGATTAAACTTACCCTTTGCATATCAAATCCTTGAACACCAGTAATATCCTCACATTGTCCTCTAAATATCGGAGCCATATTAGGGAATACTTCCGGTATGTAGAAGCAAGCCTCTTCACTTTGATCAGTTATCATGTAATAATCATTCAAGAGACCTTCTGTATTATTAACTATGTTATTTATTACGTTATTTGCTTCGTTACTTAGAGTTGTAGTCCTACTAAGCTTCCAACTGTTTACTGTAAAAGAGAAAATTTATTAATTCAAAAAAGATCGTGAAAGTCGAAGTAGCTGTTCAAAATATTGTCATCCCTATCAATCTGTTTGATCAAAATAGGGACAACAATATATTACTCAATGTCATCATGTCATCATCAGCTCACTATACGTCCCCATCAAGGGGCTCGTAGCCTATCCTATGTTAAGGGTGATTAGTCAACCACGCTGGCCAAGTGCAGGATGGTTGATTTCACACAATCTTTGAATTTCTTCTCAGATATATGCAGGTTGCATCACGATGTTTTCCTTCACCGTAAGAACGTCGGATAAATGTAATGTAAATCGGAAATCGAAAAACACATTGGTACATGGCGGGATTCGAACCCAGGACCAGCAGATTGCAAGTCAAGTGCTTGACCCCTGAACCACCGACGCTCAGTTCAGCTCAGTCATTATTTAATAACAATAGGTAAACCGATCGTACCTTGTCTTCTGTTATCGGACATGTTTCGACAACTGTAAAGCAGGGCGTAGTTGGTGTAGTCAGTTTCCAGAATGTAAAGGGTGGCAACATTTACAACTGAAACAGAAAAAGTACCATAAAGTTTGACTCAATCATATAAAAATTAAACTCTTTGATTTCATGGAAGAAGTAGACGAAACTCCCGACACTAAAGACAATTTCTTCTATTGAAAAAAAAAATAGAAAATATTTTAAATTAATTAATTTGAATCTTACTAATATTATAAATGCGAATGTTAAGTTGGATGGATGGATGGAGGTTTGTTTGAAGGTATCTCTGAAACGGCTGAACGGTTCACGCTGAAATTTGGCGTATTTGTAGACCATAGTCTGGATGAACACATAGACTTGCGCACGGACGGAGTCGCGGCCGACAGCTAGTTAATTATTCACATGAATAGATAGCAAAGGAGAAAAAGTTTTACTTGAAATTTGGATACCTTTTATGATCTTACTATATTTTTTTAGGAGAACTAATTAAAGTTAAATTTGTTTGGTGAAAATTGCTATTGGTGATTTTCTCTATATATTAAATTCACTAGTACTTACCATCATTAGGCAATCTGAATGTAACAGTAACTATTCCGCTGCCATCTGTCGAGGACACAACAGCCTCGCCATTGATGGTATCCAATGTTTGGTTGATAACTTGTGTATTTATAACCTCAAAGGTATTGCCCAATAGATCGTAGAGTGGTCGGTTGCATTGACCACGTTGTGATGCTTGTGGGTAACGTGCGATCTCGATCCATGTTCCGGCGAACTGTACCATAAATTGATTTTTTATTTAAAAGCCTAGAAGTCAACATTGTCTGTAGTATTTCATGGTGACATAGCTACTTTCTAATACCATTTTTAACAAAACTGACTATAAAAGGTTCATGTTTTTATTTATATATTATATATAAAAATCAATTGCTGTTCGTTAGTCGGATTTATCTTATCTTGGTCTTGAAATGTACATTGCGGTCTAGGGAAGGTTTAAAAGGTGAGAAAAATTGGAATAATTGGCGGGGAAACCCTTTAGGGAACTTTTTTTAATCCCGCGCTCACGGAGTCGCGGTCCACAGATGGTTTATAATACAAAATTGACAAACCTGGCCCATAAAAGTCATTAAGGCTATGTAAATTTAACAAAATCAGCTAGTTTGACAAACACAACGACTCTTTAGAGTCTACTAAAATAGAAATATCGAAATCTTTAAACTAGTGTGATCAAATGTCAAAAATTTTGTCATTATGTATGGAATATGAAAGGAATTGTAAAATACTAACGCCTGCTGCATTAAAGTTGGCTTTAGCTCGGATACTTTGGTCGCAAGGTCCAGGTAACGTTATAGCTGGAGGCATCTCGTCAAACACCGGATAATGGAAACATGCAGCGTTGCTCTGGTCGCTTGTCTCATAGTAATTCTCGAATAGATCCGTTGTACTAGATACAACTTGGTTTATAGTATTGTTGGCCGATTGAGATAGACCCGTTTGTGATCTGCTGAGTTTCCAACTGTATACTGAAATGTAAAAAAAATTGTTTTAAAAAAAAATGTTTATGATTTCATAAAAACGCAGAAGAGAACGGCTTTGTTATTTCCAAAGTACTAAAGCACAGGTGATAAAAAGACTAACCCTGCGTTTCTGAGCCAAAAATACCTGTTTATAACATATTGTTTATTATCTCATAGACATTTATATTAATAATAATAATAATAATAAAGCCTTTTTATTTCCATATCTAAATAACTATTTACATGAGTAGTATATTGTTAGTATTGTTAGTAGTTCGCTTACATTTATATTAGTATTGTTAGATTTAACTGTTTAGATATGGACCCCACTTTGGGTGAAGGCCTCTTCCATCTTTTTCCAAGACATTTATATTATCTATTTTAATTTATTTTGTTTTTATTTTTAATTTTTTTTTAAATAAAAATATTAGCAGATTTTTTTTGTAAATTTACTAATATTTCTTTTACCACTTCAACTAAGCTCTATGCTTGTGCTAGGATATAGTTCACGACAATAGTCAAATGTCGGGATTCGAACTGCCGACCTCGTGATCGGAAATCTGTATCCTTAACCATTAGGCTATTGACGCTTATTATATGTATACCGGAGTAAATGATAATTGTTAAATGCTAAAATGTCGTGAGTGTGGGTTGTTGTAATTTTTTGGACTGAATATTATATACCTATCTGAATATCGGTGTCTACGATACAGACATTGCCTAGTTTGGGCATCACTAGATTAAACAAAAATAACCATAAATGGTAACTTAAGTTTTATTTAATTTCTCAGTTATGTGAAATTTTATATGTTAGTTATTGTTTTTTGGTTTAACCTTTATTACCTATAGTAAAAACTTTTCTTTCTGTGTTGTTAACATGGATGACGATATGTTTTATAAAGAGATTTTTATCTTAGAAACCAACGGTAAGAAACTGAATTAAAAGAAATTTTAAGTGTTAATTTGTGATGAAAAAATTTGACTAGAAATGAATTACATAAATATATACGTACTTTGTTTAGACTGATTTCCGAGGTTCCTGCAGCTGAATAACAAGGCGTAGTCAGTGTAGTCAGTTGCCAGGACGTAGATGGTAGCATCAAAGGTAACTGAAAGAATTTAAGATTTTTACTAAAACATATTGCATAACTTTCCTTATAGACTGTTAGGAAGACTATGGAAAATATGCGTACAGCACACTCTGTAATTTTTTTCTTATGAGTTTTATTCTCAACCAGCGGTCGCCTGCGACTTCATCAGGGTAGAATTTAAAAATAGCCTATAATCTGTCCGCGTGCGTCAGCTACCTTCCCATCAAAGTCACGTCAAAATCGGTCCAGCTATTCCGAAGATTACCCGGAACAGACAGAGCTACAGATTTTTTTAATAGTGTTGTTATCAGCAACGGAAATACATCCTGATTTTTTCCTCGATATTAGGTCTATGTTTTTTTTTAATCGCTGAAATAGCGAAGTGACCGATGCCCATAGACATACGCAATTGCATATGTGTTGCCTACCTTTAATCGACGGAGGAGAGGATGTACAGTGAGAAAATATTTTCCCTTTCCATACATCCTCTCATCCGGAAAGTCCACTTTCACTTCCCATTTCTTATAAGAAAAACAATGGGAAGAGAAAGAGGACTAAATTAGGCCTCCGGGACGCACACTCATCAGACGAAACGCGGAATTGCTTCCACTTGATGCCTGTCTTCTATGTGGTTGTGGTATTTCACCGGGCGAGCCGGCCCAATTCGTGCGAAGATGTTAAAGCGGGCTCTACCACTGTTAAATGTACTTCCCTTTTAATAATATGTAATAGATTTTACCTCCTGTAACATCGGTGAGTGTAGTATTAAGAATACCCCTGCCATCAGTTGCTGTAATTGCTGTAAAATTGATTGTGTCCAGTCTTTCATTATTAACATAACTTTCACTAATCATCACTGTATTCTGACTGCTACTGATCGTCTTTGAGGCGCACTCTCCTCTTTGCAGTTCCGATGGGAACCTTGCAGCTTCGTACCATGTTCCTCCGAACTGAAAGAGATTTGGTATTGTAATTATTTGAATTTTCTTTACTCTAATATGTATGTTAGTTAGTTTTTATTATTCTGTACCCCGATTTCTACTAACGTGTCGATTTTTAATTAGTTTAGCTGGTTCTTCATTTGTTTTTTGTCATAAAAATTGGTATCAGAGTTGTTTTTCATAAATTAGAGATCTGAAGAAATGTGGTAGCTTCAAAAAGCTATCGCTTGCGACTCCTTCCGCGCGGTATTTTATTAAACTTAATTAGTAGTCCATGTGTTCCTCCACGATATTATCTACATCTACGCCAAATTTGACCGATGGCTTAAATAAAATATTTCTAAATCAAAACAATTGAAACTTACAGCGTTAACATTGAATCCAGTAACGGGGGTCTGTTCCTCACAGACACCGTTCAGTATGACAGGTCCACCGTTGTTGTCGGGGTAGTAGAAGCAATCGTCTTCAGTATGACCTCGTGGGACGTAGTAGTCGTTGCGTAGTACTGGTACAGTTGCGATGACGTTATTGATTACCTGTTCCGCTACCACTGTTAGGTTTGTCTGTCTGCTTAGCTTCCAGCTTGTAACTGTTGTAAGGAAATGTTAGCGTTAAAAAATGTTTAAGTAGAACAAACGCATTTCCATGTGTCTGCTTATACGACAGTGCTTTTAGGACGA